AATAACTGTATGTTTTATTATTGCATAATGGCCTCCTTCCTTTTGATGCAAGTACATGTTTTATGGTCCTTATGTTTAAGGTTGTCATAGGTTTGAATGTACATGTACCTGTATGTACAAGTCATGCCACAGCCATATTTTATTAGCAGAGTCTGGTAACATTATTGTACATTTTGTATCTGTGTTACCGTATCGGACATCTGGGCATATAGCATACAGTATGTTCCCCATCTGAGCATTATACAGAATGTATCTCATCTGGGCACATATGTATATGATGCAGTAACACACGTGTGCGTACATGTACATCCTATCCATGTGTGTGTATAGACGTTACATGCCCCTGTGTTTTATATGTACACAGTGATGTTAGTGAACCAGCATGAGGACAAATTTACTCCCTGTGTCTGTTCCCTGCATGGTCACACTTGGCCTTCACTGTCACACAGATGGGCTTTTCTGGGTCAAACAAGTTGGGAATCCTCCCTGAATTGGGGTGAGCAAGTATTGGAGAGGGTGGTCATGTAATGTGTGTAACAGTGTCTGTATGTAGGATGGTGGTGGGTCACTGTCCTTGTATATGTCATGTTTATAAAATAGTGTCAGTAATATTAGACAAGTATTGATAAGTTCAGTTAAAGGATACCTACTTAAGCAATAAATAGATATTAGAGTAGAGAGTTGCATCTCTAAATAACTTGCCATACATTGTACCTGAGACAAGTGTTGCGCAATAAAGTTTGACTTGACTTGCAATATACTAAATGAAAGTCAATTGGATTGGGATTGGAAATGGGGGTGGGGGGGGTGGGGTGGCAGGGCTCCATTTCTGCAGCATGTAATGTGGGAGGGGGTACCGACTCCAGTATGTTATGGGGGGGTACCAACTCCAGTATGTTGGGAGGGGATACCGACTCTAGTATGTTATGGGGGGGGGGTCTGTCTCTCTGCAGCAGTATGTACTGTCCCCATTAACACTCCCTAATGGCGGACATGTTTACTCACCTTGGCTTAGAGGTCACTAATGCCCTTCCTGATGAAGGACAAGGACAAGACGCTGGATGTCCTTCTTTTGTCAGGTTAGTGTAAAACTGTCCCTGTAAGCTGGACATGGATTCTGCATTCAATTTTTTTATATTTGATATTTTTCACTAAAGAATACTTATGCGATATTACTTGAACCTGTAGGAGTGTGTAACCTTGTCATGTATCTACAGTAACTACAATGTGTGGTCCAAATACTATTAGTCAAACTTGCTGGTTTCCTTTAATTAGCAGGTACAGTTTACAGGAAATGCTAGGCATATGATACGGTAAGGTTTATACAGGTGTGCACAGGTGAGGTACACACCTGCTAACAGGTTCTGGAGGTGTTCTTTTTAGAACTGTGCCTGTCTAGTTCTGTGCCTGAATGGGTTAGGGTTATAGGACCAGGCAGGGTTCTGGATAGTCTACACATTTCAAAGAAGATTTCCCCCAGTCATGGTTCTGGATATGTGTGGACTATCCACAACAGTGCCTGAGCTTCGTTCTGGATAAAGCACGGTTCTGGATAAAGCATGGTTCTGGATGAAGCATGGTTCTGGATAAAGCACGGTTCTGGATAAAGCACGGTTCTGGATAAAGCATGGTTCTGGATAAAGCACGGTTCTGGATAAAGCATGGTTCTGGATAAAGCATGGTTCTGGATAAAGCGTGGTTCTGGATACAACAGGAGGGTTGTGTTTTCCGAGTGCTGCCTGTTTTGTAGCTGTATTTAATCCGTCTGCAGTGTTTATAAACCAGGACGTCTGCTCTTGTAGACTGGACATAACATTTACATTCCTGACTAAGTTACATGGAGAATATGGGAGACTGTTGGGGAAATACTGGAGTAATGTTACACAACTCGCAGTAAGACCTTACCATATTATTTACTTGTTTCTCAGACATTTTAAGGTGAAAGTAGACATTATAAAAGTAAAAGGCAGGGAGGAAAACTGTGTTGTACATGTACATGTTTGTAACATTTTTGTATATTGTTGGGTTCAATATGTAATTTTTATGAATGTATGTTTTAATGTATGTGCACAGGGATACCTGAAAAGCAGATCAATGGATCTGAGGTATTCCCTGGTAAAATAAATAAACTTGAAACTTGAACTTGAATATGACCATGTTCCATAAACCAGAGTGCACCAAGTCAGACATAAACCTAGCTTTGTTTTTATCATTCTTTTCCAGCAATATTTTTTGAAATCTGAGAACCAACAAATTAAATTGGTGTGGCCTAACCTGCTAATAAACTCTTACATGCAAACTCCAACTTTGTCCAGTAAACTTGTCTTACCTTAACTACTTAAACTTTTAAAAAGTCTTAAAGTTAAGAGTTTCACCTGAAATAATTAAGGTAAACACTATACTTTCTTAACTTCTAAGGCAAGACTTTGAAGACCGTCTTACGTCTGTAATCCTCATCACATCTTACATCAGCCACCTGAAGAAAGTTTGGTCACCTTCTGCAGTCTTGTGGTTCAATCTTGTTTTCGTAGGAAACTTGAGAGTTTTGATATTGTTGTTTTTTTTTAGCATCAAGACTTTGAAGTCTTTTCCCGTTGAGTCTATAATGTTTATCACTTATAGTAACTACTTACATCTAACGGATACTCCAAGCAAAGTGATGAAGAAAACAGTTTTGCAAGGTGGTCTTGTGGTTAGGGTTGTTGACTCAGAATCCAAAGGTCCTGGGTTCGAATCTCTGACAGTCCCAGTTGTGTTGTAGCCTTCAAGGGAAAGGCACTTATTTCCTCACTCAACTCGAGTTAAAATGAGTACCTAGCTTTGGTAAGGGACATCCTCTCGTATGAGAGGTATATAGCCAAAGGCACTGTGTTTGAGAGCCACACCCCGAGCACACTTAACCCTTGTCCTGCTGGCATTCCTGGCACACTATTTTTCAATAATTTCATGTCTTAATGAGTTAATCAGATCATAGACCCCCAAATTTTTTTGCCCTGCAGTGGCATAGTTACTTCCGCATTCGTTGCGTTTCGCTGCGGTGTGATGCGTTGCACGAGAAATACCCCCAAATCGTACCTATGCAGGGTGCTATATAATATATATATAGATGTTACTGTATGTGCAGAACAACAATTGTTGCGCTCAGCAGGACAAGGGTTTTAAGAACCTGCCACACTTACCAAAAAGAGCTGGGGTCCTTCCTGGTGTTAGACCTTACAGTCCGGTCTTACACAGCTTGTACTTACTGTACAAAACTGCATTGTTATTCCTATAGCATAGGTGGTTTACCCCAAAACAAACAAACAAAAAACAAAAAAACATAGTCTGATCACCTTACCAACAGACCTGTGGTTTGAGATTGTTTATACAAGAAGCCAAAGAAAGAATTTTAGCAGCAGAAAGTTTCAGCAAGACTTTACAATGTTTCCTTTTCCCTGTTCATAATGTTTATCACTCACTGTATCAGTTACTTAAGTCGATAAAGGTTCAGACCCCTTAAAGACAGACTTGTGGGCCCTGCTTTTCTTAAGGGGTCTACCAGGTTGTTTTCAGATGTAACTTGAGAACTTTCGCTGTCTCTTTCCTCTGTGTAAAATCAGATTGTTGATCTTAAGTATCGGTTACAGAATTGTGACAAAGAAAACGCGGTTTGATCACCTTGTAGACAAATTTATGGGTTCTGCTAGTTCCTAAGGATATTGCCAGGTGGCTAGAGTCGAGAGTCCCAATTTTACTGTAAGTTTTGAAATATTCGCACTGTGGCTTCATTTTCATAGTAGATGGTGCCTCTCTACTGTTAAATCATTATGCTGCGGACTTGAGAGCATGTTTTCATACTGTTACTGTTTTCAACTAGTTGATGAAGAAAACATGGTCTTAACAGTTGTAGAGTGCTTGACAATGTAAACTTTCCTGAGAACTGCTTTTCAGTCCTCAAGGAGACTAGGCAAGGAGACACTGACAGTAAAACATCTTGAGAGAACTGTCCATAAGAAACCCTTACCAGAAGTGTTGCACTGTCTTTGATGTTCGAAGGATGGACCCTCCTGCTTAAAAGTTAAACAAATAATCCAAGTCCAGTTGTCGAGTTGTCACTGTGTTCTTTCCTACAATTTACCAACACACAACTGTTACAGTACTGTATCTCAGTCCTCCTCTCTCTAGACCCACAATGAAACAAACATCTTAAGGGCTTAATCTGAATTGTTTATAAGAAATCCTTACCAGTTCTTGTCCCAAGTATCACAGTTTCTCCCTCTGCTAAAGTCCAACATCCAACGGCCAAGTTCTTACAACTGTTGTTCCCTACAGACCCCCACAGTACTGTATCCAAGCCTGCCCACACCACACTAAGGCCACCCTCCAGCCAGCCTCCCCTCATGTACAGACTGTGCAAATCTGCTGCAGGCTGGGCCCTGTCTGTGTGCTGTTTATGTAGAAACCTGACCCGACCTGTCTGTGTAAACACTACCGCCCCCCTCCCACCCTCTGTATCATGGCTGCAGAGGTCACCTGTCAAGGTCAAGCAGGGTTATTATGGGTTCTTTGGTTTGTTCAGATATGGTTACAAGAAAGAAAAGTTTATACATGTAGACTATCAATGGCGTTTTTTTCCAGGCACATCTAGATGGAAGTATACTCCATCTAACCCTATGGACAACTCTGAACATGATTGTACAAATCCTGCTATGCCTCAGGAGCTATTTAGTTGTATTTAGTTTTATATATAAAGCATTGAGATGTACCTACATGTGCTAGACAGTATAATTATATATAATGGCTTTATCAGGAAGCTACATGTAATGTGTTATTTGCCTGTGTCCTGTACAGATGCAGATGGAATGATCCTCCACCTGACCCACTGTGTGTTTGTATGTTTGTTTGTTTGTTTATTTACCTGTTCCCTGTGTCCCATACAGATGCGGACGGGACGATCCTCCACCTGACCCACAGTGTGTTTGTTTGTTTGTTTATTTACCTGTTCCCTGTGTCCTGTACAGATGCAGACGGGATGATCCTCCATGACGGAAACGTGAGTCCGTCAGACCTGCTCGACGACTACGGCATGCAGAACGGAATGGGGCATCCTGGGTACGGGAGGTCGGTACAGCACTTCTGTCTTTTATTTATTTATTTATTTATTCAGAATTGCAACATGACAATACAAAGTGTGCACTAGGCAGCAAGTATGCTGATAGCGTGCACACCTAACACATACCTGGACATATGACATAGAAAAACAACAATGAATAGTTAGGACAAGATATATATGCACAAATAACAATTATCTAATAAAATTACACCTATAATTGTCTTTTTTTTTGTTGATTTGACAACAGACACACAGGCAGTGTCCATTACAAAGTGCTTGCAGTTTTTATAGTAAACTTACTTTACATGCGATGCTACATACAAGTATATGTACATCTGATGCCCCCTATTGCCCAGACATCGAACCGCATCCACAAAACCCTGTACATGTAACCAAGGACATTCAACACTTTGATGTAACACACACATTACAGCCCTCCTGTTGCCTGTTACAAAGGACATGCTACTACATGTAGCACTAGTATGTCTTTCAAATGCCCCCCATTGCCCAAAGATGGAACTGCACCCTCCCCACCTGTACATGTAACACATTACAGGCTTCCTGTTTCTTATTACAAAGGGCCTATAGTACATGCATGCCTTTCAAATGCCCCCTATTGCCCAGACACCAAACTGCACCCACCCCACCTACATGTAACACCTACATTACAGCACTCCTGTTTCCCAGTACAAAGGGCGTACATGTAAGTTTTCAAATGCCCCCTATTCCCAGACACCAAACTGCATCCACCTGTACATATAACACATACGGTACACGTAGTATGTACATGTACTATTGCCCAAATGGAGCTGCACCCACCTGTACATGTAACACCTACATTACAGTCCTGCTGTTTCCCGTCTATGCTTCGTTATGAGTGATGGCCGAGTGCTGGATGAATTCGGGCAGCCGCTCTCCCTGTCACAACACCACAGACTCACGCACACCAGGTTTAACATTCACACATCCAAGGGGTACATACATGGCGTAATGTTGGATTCAGTGCAGGTTAACATGCATGGCACACAATGCAGCAGGAGACAAGCACATCAGCAGAATATACTTTACCAGTGCAAAAACCATCTACAGTTTTTGAATGTCAAATTTTTATACAACTTTGACCAAACATCTAACAAAAAAAGGAAAAATCCAGGTTTTATAGGTGCAGTACATTCTGCCAATGTGCTCATGAGATATACACACGTTTCAGGTTGTACCTTTGGGTATAGCAGGGTTGCTGCTGGTGTTAGGTCATCTGTGCACGTCAGGGTTATAGGTGAAAGGGCAAAGGGCAAAGGTTAGTAAGGCAGGGGAAGGTGAGAGGACAGTAGATCTGTCCATGGTGCTGATTGGCTGTTAGCTCCCCTTCCAGCGTGCTGATTGGCCAATTAGTAGATCTGTCCATGGTGCTGATTGGCCAATCAGTAGACCTGTCCCTGGTGCTGATTGGCCAATCAGTAGATCTGTCCATGGTGCTGATTGGCCAGTCTTTAGATCTGTCCATGGTGCTAATTGGCCAATCAGTAGTTCTGTCCATGGTGCTGATTGGCCAATCAGAAGATCTGTCCATGGTGCTGATTGGCCAATCAGTAGACCTGTCCATGGTGCTGATTGGCCAATCAGTAGACCTGTCCCTGGTGCTGATTGGCTAATCAGTGGATCTATCCACGGTGCTGATTGACCAGTCAGTAGATCTATCCATGGTGCTGATTGGCCAATCAGTAGATCTGTCCATGGTGCTGATTGGCCAATCAGTAGACCTGTCCATGGTGCTGATTGGCCAATCAGTAGACCTGTCCCAGTGTGCTGATTGGCTGTTTGCTGATGATACCAGTGTGCTGATTGGCTGTTAGCTTTTGTACCAGCCCGCTGATTGGCTGTTGGCTCCCATACAAGCGTGCTGATTGGCTGTTGTGTTGCAGGTACGACCCAGGATACGACGGTCCGTACTTCATGATGAACGGGCAGCCTGTGGACGAGTTTGGCCGTCCGGCGTACCCGTACGAGGTGCCTGTGGATCCGTACGGCCGTCCGATAACACCGGGCGATATGGAGGGGGAACACCCGGGATACGGGTACAGATAGGGGAGTATTAACTAAACCATTACAACATTACAGCTGTAATAGTAAAGGATGCAACAAGCGTACAAAATGTAATGAGTCGGTAACAAATTTGTTGTCGTATTTCAGTCATCTGTTATTCACTATGTACAAATGGTAGGAATATTCTCATCCAAATGTTCCTTACACTGGGATACTGGTAAAGATATAGGGCAGGGCAACTGATTCAACACAATGAACAATGTTTCAAAAAGTAAGCTAACAACATCATTAGAGATGTGAAGACGATAACAAGACAAATCAGTTGATTTGGTTACCGTAATAAACTTTTAATGCAAAGTAAAACAGCTGTAAGACTAGGAGACACAAGACTGTCACTTACAATGAATCCAATAACAAGTTTAAAAAGGTATTTTTAATTAAGATAAGTTGGTAACAACTTTGTTGCTCACTTTCAAGATTTAACATAAGTCACGCCCAAAGCATGCCGCACATCAAATATTATGACAACACAATTTACACTTAATCCTGCTGATATACATGTACAATAGCATAGACTATTCTGGAGTCACAGAAAATTTGTTAAGTGTTCTTTGAAGGGCAATTGCCTAAGCTATCATTTGTGATGTGTTTTTGTACCTGTACTTAGGGCTGAAAAAGTATTGTTAATTGAGATAAGTTGGTAACAAATTTGTTGCTCACTTTCAAGACTTAACATCAGTCACGTCCAAAGCATGCCGCACATCAAATATTATGACAACACAATTTACACTTATCCTTCTTATATACATGTACATGAGAGCATAGACTATTCTGGAGTCACAGAAAATTTGTTAAGTTTCCTTTGAAGGGCAAATGCCTATGCTATCAATTGTGATGTGTTTTTTACCTGTACTTAGGGCTGTGTTTGTGAAGTGAATTAAAAAAAGGAAGCCAATATATGCCTAAAACACTGCTGTAGGGGCTGTTGGTTTGTTTCTGTTGTCTGTTAAGACCCAAGGCTATTCATTGGATCAACTAGCAGTAATGACATCTGAAATAAAACTCGTCTCTGAGTTATCTGCTTAATTGCTTTTATCCCTCCAAGGTGGCTGTTTTATTCAGTTTAAGATGGACTTTAGTCATTTGGGACTCCTGACGTGCTACTTTCCTTTCCATCTGCCTTGCCTGGTTCATGTACTTTCTCGCTTTTCGGTCATGACCCTGCTTTTTCCAGGCTGCCGCCAGGCAGCTGAGTGAAGCAGCGATACCAAGAGTTTCCGCACGAGCGCCGTACAAGTTTCTCTGCACCTGCAGGGCTCGCTCAAAGCAGTCAATGGCTTTTTTCTTCTCACCAAGGCGAAGACAAGCCGACCCGATGAATTGGAGCAATGGGGCGATTTGAGGGTGTGCTGTGCCATGGATTGTTTCACACCTCTCCAGTGCCAGTTCGAAGTAGTCAACGGCTTTCCTGTGATTACCTTGTTTGCTCCAAGTAAATCCCATTTCTCTGAGTGTAGAGGCAATGTGTGGATCTGCTGGATGAGAGTCATAGATAGTCATGGACATTTGCAGTGACTGTTCATAGAAGCCCAGTGCTTTTGGGTAATTCTTCAGGCTCTCATAGGCTACTGCCAAGTTTCTAAGTATGGCGGCAGTGGTCGCATGTGTAGTGTTTTCACCATAGACCGCTTTCTGCATCTGCAGCGCCTGTTCATAGCGTTCAACGGCTTTACTGTCATCATCCAAACATCGCAACGCATGTCCCATGTTATTGAGTGTGCTAGCAATCTTAGGGTGTTCCGCATTCGGACCAAGGACACTTTGATACATCTCCAATGATAGCTCGAGGTAGGTCAGTGCTTCCTGGTGATTTTCAAGGTTAGTACAGGCCGCCCCCATGTTGGCAAGAATTTCTGCAATTTCAGGATGTGGTGTGTTTTGACCATGTACGGCTTTGTCCATCTGTAGTGCCTCTTCATAGTACGTCATTGCCTTACTGCTATCCCCCAGTTTACCCCATGTTGTCCCCAGGTTATTGAGTGTATTGGCAATGGCTGGATGTGGTTTATCTGGACCATAGACCGTCTTTAAAATCTGCAGAGCCTCCTCGTAGCATATGAGTGCTTCTTCATGTTTCTCCAACCTCCACAGAACGGACCCGAGGTTGCTGAGAGCACCGGCAGTGTCAGGATGGGCTTCAGTATGGAGTCTTCTCCTCATGTCCACCCCCTGTTGTGCATACATGATTGCCTGCTTTGGGTCCAGGTTGTTCCACGACGTTGTAAGACTGCTGAGTGAATGTGCAATAAGAGGATGTGCCTTGTCGCCATAGAAAACCGTGTACGTTTTCAGTGCTAACTTTCTATAGTTGAGAGCCTTATGAGGTTTCCCCAGCTCATGCCAGGCTGCTCCCAGCAGGGTTAAGGATACCGCTATGTCAGGATGGGCTGTATTCTGACCATACAGAGTGTTCCTCATCTTCAGGCTCTGTTCGATGGAGCTGACGGCCTTCTTATTATCACCCTTATTGCTCCAAACTAAACCTATGTTGTGATATGAGGTGGCAATATCGCGATGTGCTGTTTTTACACCATAGCATTTCTGATGCATCTTCAATGTTTCTTCGAAATGGTGAAGTGCTTTCTCATAGTTACCAAGCCTGTCATAAGACAACCCGAGAAGGGTTAGTGCATCAGTAGTACCAGAGTGTATATTGTCAAATGTTGTCTCATTGACATCAACTTCCTTGAACATGGCCAGTCCTTTCTCAAGGTAACTGATTGCCGTCCTATAATCAGCCAGGTCATGATAGGCTGACCCTAACTTGACCAGGGACATGGCAGTATCAGGCCTCGTGCTTGGTCCATGGGGTATCCGGGACATCTCAAGGGCGTGTTGAAAATATTTCATTGCATTTCTTTGATCGCCCAAGTTTTTCCACGCAGTCCCCAAATTCGATGTGACTTTTACCAGTTCCGAATCATCTACTACATGTATATCAGGCCTGACGTTTCCATAACATTTGATAGCTTCGCTGTTATTGCCCAATAAGAGATACATGTCCCCTTTCACTAATGGAGAGTTTTGAAATAGACTTATGTTTGTCAACGTGCACTTTTGATTATTGCAAACCGGTTCGTTTGACAGAAAGAGGTTCAAAGGCATTGCTGTAAAGTAATATCTGAACAGCTGGTTCACATCAGGAATGTGGAACACCTTTTGTAATTTGCTGTTCTGCTCATCACTGTTCTGCTGTGATGCTGGCATCGCTGACAAGGCTGACAGGTTTTCCTTCTGTCCACCGTTTGTGATGTAGGTTCTCAGTCTGAGTTCTGCTGAGATGCTGACCAGAACCTTCAGGTGATGCGCGTTTTCTGCACTGACAACCCCTTCAGTTTTCATGTCTTCAATGGTCTGCCAAACGGTCGAGGGGACGATGTTTGACCTCAGTGCCAAACAGTCCACTGCAAGAGATGGGAAGCGATAGATCTGTTTCTTCACATCCAATAGGATGGCAGTCGGTACTTGTCCTTGAGCGTCTCTAAAATTCTCGCGAATCGTCTCCTTTGCCAGTTGCTGAGCCATTTCGCCACCACGAGACTGCAGAGTTTCGACTACAAGAGCATCATAGTCATCTACTAACCCCTGCTCTCCTGCAATCAAACAAACATTTCTCAAGACACTACAGAGGTGATAACCTTCCTCCAGGTACAGTGAAAAGTCTGTTTCTAAGATACCAGCCATGTTACTTGGTGTGCGGATGAGTTCACTGGGTGGTTCAGTTGCAGTCCCTTGCCTACCCAGTGGAGTCTTGCTTGCCTTTGGCATGGAGCCGTCAAATGCAAACCCACGTGGTGTAACACAGTCATAGTACCAACACTCCAGTGGGTCGTCTGAGTAGAAGTCATTCAGACTTTTGATCCCCAGGGCTGGGAGAATGGTTTCTCCCAGGTTGACCACCTTGAGGTGCAGGTAGTGAGTCAGTCGGCGGAAATACGCGGCGTTTGCTTCATTTTCCTCCTCTACCAATATGGCAAACTCCAGGTCTGAGTACGGAGTTACCAGTCCTGTGGCCTGTGAACCCAAACCTATCAGGGCATACTTACAGGGAGGGGGACCCATCACTGAGATACACTCATCTACTAGACGCCCAATGAACTCTTTTCTTTCTTCTGCAATTTTATCAAACAACTGTCTGACAGCGTCAGCCCGCTTGGCTTCTATCTCTCTTGCTAACTGACTTTCCTCGTCATGTATGTAGGGGTTCGAGTCTTGGTCAATGGTTTCCATCTCGTGTTTGATTTGATCTCGAATTTTCCTGAGTTGGTCCTTGTGTGTAAGAGTGTTACCACCATACATGTTTTCTGTTATGATATCTATACCTAAGCCATATTCGAGGAACTGTCTTTCTACTTGTACAACTGCTTTGTTAATCTTACGTTTTAATGCTCTTTTCCCCGACCTGGCCAGTGCTGCATGGTAGAGTGCTGCCGCCTTGACAAAGTCTCCCCCGTCACCTGTTTGACAGCCTCGCCGGCAGTAGACATCGCCCAACTTGTGCAGCGGTGATACTTCTCTTTCGTACTGGAGAATTGTAGGATCTGTAGAAAACAACACGTTCGTAATTTATTATCTTTATTGCTCATTCTTTTCACAAATGTAGAACAGCAGGGATGAGCAGAAGCGCATCCCCCTAAATTAGGTACAATTTGTCGCATTTTTCCACATCAATGTTGGGAAACATCTAGTATAGCGTATATACAAAAGACACATACAAAAGTATTCCAAAAAATATACACAATGTTGCTTGGTCAAGTTATGCGAGGTCCAGTGTAGGTTCAAGACCCGGAAGGTAAGATGTTCTAAAGTCTGATGGCGTAGTGCAGGAATGACTGCTGCAGTCGTTTGGTTCTTGCATGGGGAACAGTGATGTTATGACCGTTCCTCAGTGCTCTTCCTATGGCTATGACAGATTGTCTCTGGGCAGGAACCAGGTTTGGAGTTTGGGGTATATAGAACACTAGGCGTCCTACTGCTAGAAACTTAAATTGATCATTGTTCCTCTGTGTGTGACTGTAAAGAATGCACGTCAGAATGTACGACAAATGTTAAAATGTTGCACTTTACTACCAACACAGATTACTAGTAACTTTCATGACAATGTGTTCATGTTGTTTGGTATTCTAAGTAAGAATTCCCTACCTCTGACATGTACGAGCCTGAGTGCTGCTGCAAAGTGCTTCTCTGCTGAGTCCAGGTCTCCCCTCTGTACAGCCTTCTCTCCTTTCTGCAGTTCATCATTGTACTGCCTAGTAGATAATGCATGCATGAAGCAAAGAAGGAATGAAGAAATGATCAAATAATTAATACTGTGTTCTGCGGCCTTAAGTCCAATTCATCAACTGACGTCACTCACCTGGACATGTCATCATTAGCGAGAACACCTTGAGTCCCGTCTGAAGGCGAGAGCGTGGCCGTGTCTGTGCCCTCTGGTGGCTCGCTCCTTCTTCTCAGCGCCATCTAAAATAACCAGACTGTTGTCAACATCCTAGAAATATTTCCTTCCCACCCCCCATACATGTAGATGCCATACGTTGAACCCTGTACAATACTTGTGTACTAAAGTTACAAATACAATCGCTTGCCCCTGTTCCAACATGATCTTAACATGTACGAAATATGATCTGGGACACTGTATTAACTTACATGTGTCTTTGTTACTCGTAACTATGTGCATAGTCCAATGGACGTCAAAAGGATATGACGGCACAACGTTTACCAGTTTCGACTCAAGTCTTCATTAGAACGGCCTTTACTACTCTCCAAGCAAAGTTTGATGGGGGAAGACCTTTTTATATATGGCCCCTTTCTTGTCGCTACTCCCACCAACCTTGCCATGGCATATTGGACCCTCCCCGGCCAATGGATACTGCCTGGCAAATTTGATACTGTTTTTTTGATACTGCCTAGAGATTATGCCTCAACCAAGAATCCCCACAAATCACTATTTATTGGTGTGGGGAGCACCAGCAACCTTGTCGTGACCGCACCCACCCCCCGAGCATTTATTTTAACTTTCATGTTTTCCTTCACGTTGGCATCCACGGTTCAGACTTCCGGGTGTCTTTAACCAAGGCTAGCTACCATTATATATAATAGTACCCTTTCGTATCTCCCTTCTCGCATTAAACAGACTCCATGCATTTTACAAGCGTTTCCCACTACATGTAGTACAATAAACAGTAAGCTCAGTCTCAATTTACCCACCTCTCTGTGAACTGCCTTCTATGATGTCGGACCTCTGCCGCTTGCTGATTAGTACCTTTACTGATGATGCACTTCGGCGTTCTGATGTGTGTAGGGCAACTGGATTCACTCTTACGGACTTAAGAACTGCGAAGACTATACAAAGGGAACTACCTAACTGTGCACGCTGGACTTACAAAGGGTCCTAGGCCATTCCTGGCCGAGGCTATCACCAACGGAATCCGGACACTGTTTACTAGTACTTCCGCTACCACGGCTACAAAATAGTCCGAAGAAAGAATTCGAAGCAACCGAAAGATAGATTTAAGCCTTGATTTGCCACCCGCCTGTACGGTCCCACGGCTGCTCTCTGAGCGTAGAGGCGCGTTTGTTGGCCGTTTTGTCCCTAACTACGAAACTACTGGTAAGTCCCGACGTGGAAACCCCCCGTGACTCATGACCCCCTTACGTCATCGCAGTATGAATACCTGCGGCATCAGGTATCAACAGTAAACAAAGGTGTTATTTGTGAAGCAGCGGCTAAAAATACGCGGGGCTTTCCAGCAGTTTCCAATGCTGTATTATTGATAGTTACAAGTAGAACACTTTCTCGAACTCAGACAAAACAAAATTTAGATATCATGAGCTCCCGTCGTGTTTTATTGTTAGTTTTGTACATACATGCATCCACCTGTTTTACTCTGGCTTGAGCATATTTACAGTTACGACTCTAGGACATGACGGGTCGAAATCCTAGTAATAGATGGTTCGCACAGGACCTAGGCAAATATACACGACGAGTCCTTCGCTATCCCCAACTGGCTAGCAGCCATTATATTGTTGTACACATTTGCCGATGATCACTGGATCAACAATCTTTGTTATTGAGGTTACATTCCCGACTGTTGTCAGTTTCTTTCCACCCAACCTTCGGTCGTGTTAGTTGGCAATGTTGTCCTTAATAACATGAATTCTGTACGCAAAAAAAGGATGCCCCCGTGAGGCCATGACCTATGATATGCAACATCACAAATAATCTTATACACTATCATTAACGTCCCTTTCACAACATCGTATTTACGCCTATTCAAGGTACCTTTATTTCCTTTATTAAAGCGATAGTTTGACGCAAAATTTGTAAGGTATGTTACAGGCCCTGCGTGGCCAGACTAAGACAAGAATGAAGCCAGCCAAGGGAGGGGGTCCTCCGCAGAAGCGACGACACCCTGGGTTGAGAGGGAGAGATACAGGCCTCGTGGGAAACTGTGGGTCCTAATCAATATAAGGGCATTTCTCCGAACTCCCTGCCGACCTTGGCGTCCAGACGTGACCAGGCAACACTACGTGTCCTCCTGAGTATCCTGGACGATAAGGACAACCCGCTGAACTGTTTCATTTCCCGTCCTTTACACAGTGGCTATGACCTCCGGCGAGTCAGACATGTTATGACTTCACAAAGCCGTGCAAAGAGACATGAACTTTCGTTCTTTCCTAGAGCGATTAAGTTGTATAAGTATAAGAACTGAACTCTGTTCATCACTTGAATTGTATTTTTAACTGGTTTTTAATTATGCTGCTTTTAATCGTTGTCTTCATGTTGAGAGCTTTTACTGTAATTGTCAACGAATTTCATGTCACATTTTCTGTGAATCTGTGTACATGCCAGTTGATTTAAATAAATGGAATTGAATTGAAGCACTTGAACTCGTAACGTTGGTTTATTTTTTTCAATACTTGTACATTGGAAGTCGCTGTTCTTGTCTTTATGTGCTGTGCTCCTTTCCCAGTGTATTCTGAATTAGAGAGACTGAGGACTAAGACATGGTTCACATTCATAATTCTCTGACAATGATCACTGACAAGTTCTAATTGACATTTTCTTCTATTGAAGCACTCGGTATGACACAGATTACCCTGTAACATATTAAGTTGTTATAATGTTATTCATAGGTCATAATGATAGTCTTTTCCCAACATTTTCTGACGTGACTATTCTTGACAGTTGGCGGCCTCTCCGCGATCAACAATGAGGCTACGAGCCAGACTCAGCCCCTCAAGCGTCTTTGCAACGTCAGGATGTTCGTCATCCTCACCATGGATACCCCGCATCATCTGTAGGGCCTGTTCAAAGTAGCTAGCGGCCTTTCTGTGATCGCCAAACATCAACCAGCCGGCACCCAAGATGTTGAGTGACCTGGCGATGTCAGGATGTACATTGACCTCGCCATGGATACTCCTGTTCATCTGTAGTGCCTGTTCATAATAGCTGACGGCCTTTCTGTGATCGCCGAGGCCCCTCCAGGCGATACCCAAGTTGTTAAGTAACGTGGCGATGTGAGGATGTTCAGTGTTCTCACCATGGATACTCCGGTACATCTGTAGTGACTGTTCATAATAGCTGACGGCCTTTCTGTGATCACCAAGGTCCCCCCAGGCGTTACCCAAGTTGTTAAGTGACGAGGCGATGTCAGGATGTTCAGTGTTCTCATCATGGATACTCCGCCTCATCTGTAGTGCCTGTTTATAATAGCTGACAGCCTTTTTGTGATCACCAAGGTGTCTCCAGGCGTTACCCAAGTCGTTAAGTAACGTGGCGATGTGAGGATGTTCAGTGGTCTCACCATGGATACTCCGGTACATCTGTAGTGCCTGTTCATGATAGCTTACGGCCTTTCTGTGATCACCGTGGTCACTCCAGGCGATACCCAAGTTGGTAAGTGACGCGGCGATGTGAGGATGTTCAGTTCCCTCACCATGAATACTCCGCCTCATCTGTAGTGCCTGTTCATGATAGCTGACGGCCTTTCTGTGACCACCAAGGCGCCTCCAGGCGGTACCCAAGTTGTTAAGTAACGTGGCGATATCAGGATGTTCAGTGTCCTCACCATGGATACTCCGGTACATCTTTAGTGACTGTTCATAATAGCTCACGGCCTTTCTGTGGTCACCAAGGTCACTCCCGGCGATACCTAAGTTGTTAAGTAACGCGGCGATATCAGGATGTTCAGTGTCCTCACCATGGATACTCCGGTACATCTTTAGTGACTGTTCATAATAGCTGACGGCCTTTCTGTGGTCACCAAGGTCACTCCAGGCGTTACCTAAGTTGTGAAGTGACTGGGCGATGTCAGGATGTTCGGTGTCCTTGCCATAGATATTCCACCTCATCTGTAGTGACTGTTCATAATAGCTGACTGCCTTTCTGTGATCACCGAGGTTCTTCCAGGCGGCACCCAAGTTGTTTAGTGGCGTAGCGATGGTAGGATGTTCGGTGTCCTCGCCATGGATTTTCCTCCACATCTGTAGTGACTGTTCATGATAGCTGACGGCCTTTCTGTGATCACCAAGGTCCCACCAGGCGTTACCCAAGTTGTTAAGTGACGTGGCGATATCAGGATGTTCAGTGTTCTCACCATGGACTTTCCGCATCATCTTCAGTGCCTGATTATTATAGCTGGCGGCCTTATTGTGATCTTTAAGGTAGCTCCAGGCGATACCCAAGTTGTGAAGTGACGCGGCGATGCCTTGATGTTCAGTGTTCTCACCGTAGATACTCCGCCTCATCTGTAGTGCCTGTTCATGATAGATGACGGCCTTTCTGTAATCACCAAGGGAAACCCAGGCGTTACCCAAGCTGCTGAGTAACGAGGCGATGTCAGGATGTTTAGTGTTCCCACAATGGATACTTTTCGTCATCTGTAGTGACTGTTCAAAATAACTGACAGCCTTTCTGTAATCACCAAGGCGCTCCAAGGCGATGCCCAAGTTGTGGAATGACCTGGCGATGCCAGGATGCTCAGTGTTCTCACCATGGATACTCCGCATCATCTGTAGTGCCTGTTCATAATAGCTGACGGCCTTTCTGTAATCACCAAGGCCCATAGAGCTCATACCCATGTTGTTAAGTGACGTGGCGATGTTAGGATGTTCAGTGTCCTCAGCATAGATACTCCGCCTCATCTGTAGTTCCTGTTCATAATAGCTGGCGGCCTTTTTGTAATTCCCAAGGTTCCACCAGGCACCACCCAATTTGCTAAGTGAGTAGGCAATAGCAGGATGAGCGTTTTTTCTACCGTATGTAGAATAGTCATCCCGTAGTGCCAGTTCCGCGCATGATTTTGCTTTTTCGTACTCACAAAGACTTGTGTATACGTCTGATTGTATCTTTGGTGAATTGTCAAACAGAACAGGGGGCCTTATCGGTGGTTTGGGAAGTTGTGGAAGAAAGGCCTTTAATGGTGTTGCTGTGTAATAGTACCTCATCAGTTGTTTTGTGTTAGAGAAGTAAAACACTCTATTCAACTTCTGCTCCATATCTGTGTGATCAGACATGGACGATAAGGCTGACATATTCTCCACCTGTCCACGGTTGTTCATGTATGTCCGCAGCCTCAGTTCTGCTGAGATGCTGACCAGCACCATCAAGTGATGCGCGTTCTCACTCTTGATGACTCCTTTCATGTTCATCTTCTGAATAGTCTCCCATATTGTGGTGGGTTGTATACCGTGGAGTAGCGCCCAACACGACACTGCAAGGATCGAAAATCGATAGATGTCTTTCTTCACATTTAGTAATCTTGATGTTGGATCTTCAAGTGTGAACGTTTTGATATTTGTTTCTTCGGTCATTATACTCAATGCCTGTTGCACTGATACTTTTTTACTACTTTGAAGTTTCTGAGTCCACAAGTCGGAATACACATCGACCAAGTCCTGCTCTCCTGTGATCAAACACACATTCCCCAAGATGCTGGCGAGATGGTAGCCTTTCTTGAAATACACAGTGAGGTCGTCTAGCATGATCCTAGTCATCTCCTTTGGTGTGTGGATAAGTTCAGCTGTTTCCCCCCTGCCCAGTGGAGTCTTGCTTGCTTTTGGCATGGAGCCATCAAAGGCAAACCCACGTGGCGTTACAGAGTCATAGTACCAGTTGTCATGTGGATCCTTCGATGAGAAATCATTCAGACTTGCTATCCCCAAGGCTGGGAGGATGGTTTCTCCAAGGTTGACAACCTTGAGGTGAAGGTAGTGAGTCAGTCGACGGAAGTATGCAACGTTTGCTTCATTTTCCTCCTCTACCAGGATGGCAAACTCCAGGTCTGAGTATGGAGTTACCAGTCCTGTGGCCTGTGAACCCAAACCTAACAGGGCATACTTACAGGGAGGGGGACCTATCACTGAGATACACTCATCTACTAGCTGCCCAATGAACTCTTTCCTTTCTTCAGCAATTTTCTCAAACAACTGTCTGACAGCGTCAGCCCTCTTGGCTTCCATTTCGTTCACTTTCCGCTGTCTGAAATATTTTTCCAGTTCCTCATGAAGCGGTACCAAACCTGGAAGGACTTCCGCCATCATCTCTACTAACGGGTCCTCCTCCTCATCATCTTCAAACTTATTATCAGCATCCATAAAGGGAACATCCTCGTCAAGTGTTTCCATTTCAAGTTTGATTTGTTGCCGTGTTTCTTTCAGCTGTTTCTTGTGTTTCTCTGTTTCATCTGGGTTGCTTTTCTGGTCTGTCTTGAAAACATGTTTGAGAAACAGCGCTTCTATTTCTTCAATTGCATTTTTAAGGATCGCATCGTGGACCTTTGACCTGGCCAGTGCTGCATGGTAGAGTGCTGCCGCCTTGACAAAGTCTCCCCCGTCTCCTGTTTGACAGCCTCGCCTGTTGTAGACTTCCCCCAACTTGTGCAGCGGTGAGACTTCTTTTCCGTACTGTAGGGGTGTGGGATCTGCAGAAAAGCATTTTTGTTCGATTTTTGTGCATATTTTTTATAATTCTTAGGAATCTCAATTGTATTAAATCCTTTGACATTTAGTATATTTGTATGAACTTCTGAAGATTAATAAGGTATTTGCTTGCAAACTTACAAATTAAATACGTTCTGGTTTTTCTTATGTACAAGATATAGTTTTGCAAATGGTATATTTTGATTATTACCCACCTCTGACATGTACAGGCCTGAGTGCTGCTGCAAAGTGCTTCTCTGCTGAGTCTAAGTCTCCCCTCCGTAAGGCCTTCTCGCCTTTCTGCAGGTGTTCGGCAGTAAGAGGGTCATGACCTTGGGGTGCGGTGGAATCCGTGACCCTGACCTCCTTAGTTTCCGTGGTTTCCGTCGTCCCCTTGACCTCTTGAGTTTTCTGCAAGATAACAAAATGTTGTAGTTGCCGTCATCAATTGCAACCACACAGTTGGCTATTATAAGCCAGTTACACATGCTTTTTAACATGTGTAATACATAATGCATTGAAAATCGATAAAAAAGTAAAGGAAATATGATCGAACAAATTTGAATATTCCAAACGTTTTGTGCATACAGTTTACATTAATACCCTCAAAACTGAAAATATTTGTCTTTCACATCACAACGAGGTGATGTGTTCCAGTATGATACTACCGGCTTCATGACATTTGGCTGCATTTCTTAATACGACGAAGAACGACAAAACACTGGATATCGTCATCTCAATTATGCTATGAATTATCTTTTTAAACTTGTAGTATATATAATTTAATGGCTGGCCATTTATATTTCTGTTTAAAAGAATGGTAAGTTTTCTTTGTTGACGCCTATACTAGGGGAGAGCCTAAAAGTTTAGAGACATGACATATATAATAATAACAGACGCCAACCTGTGATGAAGCATGGTGCAGCTTCCAACATAGTACACAGTAACTTATTCGGGCTTCATGTGAAGCATAGCCAAAATAGACCACCGATGACTGCCCTCCATCCAGCTCGGTTTTCCACGGAGAGACAATAATTAAAACTGTGCCTCCAGCCAAACTTGTTGATGACTAAGAGAAGCGAGCAATGCCCAAACATGTGCTGACCTGACCCTAGCCCAATGAGACCCAAGCATACAATGTTCAAACCCACCTTCTCCCCTCTCCACCAGTTGGTCAAGAACTCCAGAAGTTGTCCTGCCAGACTGGCCATGCTGCGATGTTTGGTTTGATCCGATTATGCAACGCCCTGTTAGTTAAGGTGGTGTTCTCCCGATTTCACGATACTGAAAGGTAAATGTGACTTTAAGTTAATATCAATTATGTGTCCAAACTTAGGTCGTTTTAGTCGGTCAGAGATGATGCAATCGTGCTGCGAATATACATGTATAACGTGTACTAAAACTGTAGGTCCAAATGGAGATTTTCTAGTTCTTTACTTTTCTCGTCAATGTGCTACAACGATTGATTTGTTGATTTTATTTGTATTTATTATTTGTCAGGGTTCATGGTATACCGGTACTTCTTTGTATTTTTGTGTGTGTCTGAAATGAATAGACAATAAAAATACATGTGGTCTGGGACGTTCATGCAAGTTCAAATTGCCCGTATGACGTATTGCTTGGTTCACCCAACTACCAGTACCTACATGTATATGACCGTATGAAGTTGTCTCTCCAGGTATATAAGCATGCTGAGTGACACGAATACTGGACGTCACCAGTGCATGGATGTCACCAATACCTGTAGCACGAATATTGATGAATCTTTATTGCATATTCATGCCCAGGTGGGATAATTGCACATATGACCAAAGGAGGTCTGGAGATGTACTAAGCCGCTACATTCTAATGCTAAGTGCTAAATGTCTATATCTATCAACAAAATAATATAGTAGTCATCTACGGTTGATCGCCGTTTTCCCTCTTTGTGAAACATCCGGAGACATAAGTACATATCTTGTTTAATATGCATTCATTGCTGCTTGACATCCAAAGTGATCATCTTCAAAATACATCACAATTTACTACTTCAAAGTGGTAATCACAAGTACGGCAATCCTGTATCATGAATACCTGAAGTTGGTAGTTCTACTTCTATCAGCCTGTTTCTGTGCTAATGCTGACATAACGTCGAGGAAGATGGACCATGCATTGCAAATTATCGACCAGCAAATAATATGTTCATCTAATGTCGTTCAAGCTAACGTTCCTGGGCATATTCTGATAGCTAGGGCTTTCAGAGTATCACTCACTTTCCCAGAATACACGGTACTTTCCACTCACGTCACGGTTGTTTTCGTTGTTAGCTTGTATTGTGTCTGTAGTATACGCCACACCCAGGCGATCATTTTAAGATATATGTTAAAATTTACTGCTTCAAAGTAGGCTAGTCGAAAAGACGACAGTGATCATTGAATGACCTCAAATGTTCTGATAGTACTTAGCTCTTCCTGCTATTTAAAAAAAATTACTAGAAAACCGCACATGGTAACATTTGTGGTTTGCTGCTGTCCTTGTGCGGGTTCATGCGCATTGACAATAGGATCATGCGTGCAGGTGTCACTTTGTCTTATCCTCCACACGAATGCTTAGCGGCAGTCTATTCATGTAAAGTACGTACAGGTACCTATTCGTAACATGAACCGTTTTTCGGTGGGAATAACCTTTGCCAGGCGCAATAATGTTTCATCCATAAGACAAATCACTCACAAGATTCCATATAAATTATAAAATTCTTCAGCGGTCTGTGCCAAGAACGTTTACTGAAGTTCTGTGAGCATATATCAAATGCACCACTAGAACGAATTTCAGGTCATTTTATTTTATAATACGAGGGCCTAATTCAGGTCATCTGCTGAAAAGTGACAAAAGGTGAATCTGTTTGGCTAAATGGCAGGAGAAGAAGAAACATCTGGGAAATTGTTCATTTTACTCCCTTACTTGGGACATGGAAACACGAAAACACAAAGGAATATATATATATACCCCATCAACATAAGACTCGAGTAGAATTAAGTATACCATTAGCCCGGAGTCCAATCTTGTTAGCTTTAGTGCGCTCCCCATGTTCCCCTACCCCGCGGTAGCGGATCTTGGTGAGGGTACTAATGCTAAGAAGGCTGGACTCCAGTCTAGTAAACCATCTTTATACACAATGCTGATATGACGTTGAGTAGAATCAACTGCACATTTGTAATTATTAACCAGCAAAAATACCCATTTTCATTCATGCTACCGTTCCTGGGCACATGCTGAAAGTCGCCAGAAAACAAATGCAGGAAAACCCAACACATGAACGTTTTACCAAATATAAGCATTGTCGTGAAGAATCAGGTGGATCCGAGTTTACGTTATATAGACTGGTTTATTGTTGACATTGAGTTCAACAGTTTCAGCATAGCTGGGACGGGACTGTTAAGGACGCGTTTGATCCCAAAAGGTATTTGGTAGCAACGGGTATGTCCGAGTTGCCTGTGGTGTTTCTGCTTCCGTGCTGGGGGTAGCCAGGAGGAGAAGCGCGAGGATTCTACCCTTCTGTTGTTTGCTGGCCGATCTGGATGTCTTTACTGCAACTTCTGTGGACCAGTCTTCTCGGGACTACGTGACGAGTCGTTTAGAACACTAGCTGGGAGAGGTATTTTGCTGTACATGGCCGGTTTCTTCCGTCAGCTCAAGTCGGGACTACGTGACGATGATGGTAGCTTGCTGTAGTCAATATGATTAGATTAGATTATGATTAGAACTGACTTACCTTTTATGTATACTCTGCTACTAAAACATCGCCCACACCCACGTACATGGATGTATCTTAGATGTTAACGGTACATGGTTGTCACCAGTTCAGATCCTGTTCCAAGAATTCCTGCGCGGTTCTTTTTATAAGAGACTGTTTCTGTGCAGTGTTTTCCACGTATGACTCACTTTGCCGAGAATACACGGTACTTTCCATTGACGTCACAGGGTATTGTTAGCTTTATTTTGCCACAACCAAATAGAATTTACTACTACTTTACTACTTCAAAGCAGTAGAAGACAGGACCACTTGCAAAGACTTGATACCTCAAATGTTGCGACAACTAGTAGTAATATTACTTAGCTATTCCTACTAAAACCGCAGATGGCAACATTTTGTGGTTAGCTGCTGTCCTTTCGGGTTCCTGCACATGGACAATAGGATCATAATGCGTCACTTTGTGTTACCCTCCACGCGAATGCTCAATGATGCAGTCTATGCATGTACATTAAATATCCAAATCCCCTCATAGTATAGACCGTTTGCTAGGGTATACACAGTTTTGCACTGAGGAAGAATCAAACATAATTCCATACAAAACGAGACCGGCCAATGTACGGTTAAGACTAGAAAATTATTACTGAACATTTCTATACTGTGTACATGGACCATAAAAGGTGAGACGTCAATGGTGCGAATCCATGTTCCCTGGGGAACACATGTCAGGACAATTTATTTATGGGCTGCAAAGTCCCACGGGAGCATTTTCATATGGGCTACAAGCAACCAATCCATCTGGCTGCCAGCGTGCAAAATACTCACGTTTGAGGGTGGGGGTGGGGTGGGGGGGCAAAGTCTACAAAAACTAGACTCGTTAGCAGGCTTAGGGGTGGACATTTTATTGCGTGGGGTTGGGGTGGATATTTTTACTTGCTGTTTTCCGATTGTATACCGCCTTGCTCGTTTTGATCGTACCAGGTCAATGTCTTTCGCACGGGTAACTGGCTACAAGAAACCCGTACAACTGACATAGAGAAAGCAGCTCACATATTAACCCGCAATGGTCTGGGCTAGTTTGAAACTTTAAAATAGTTAGATCGGAGATCCCCTGCCCGACCTGTGAGGGGGATTCCCCATGACGTCATTGTAAACACCTGCGGAACTACCTGTTAAATATTGGCTAGGAATAACCGGGAATTTTCAAAGCTGTATTATTGACAGTGTGACGGAAAACAATCCATGGGAAAAAATCCAAACTGTGATATTACATATCAATGGAAAGGTGTTTGTTGTGTGTATCCATATTTATGTGACCGACTATCTTTTAAAGTATATTCTCTTCTGACAACCATGTATGACTTCACTCCCCAGGCCAGGGTTCGTTGATCTTCTCTTGTGCAGTTTTTATGTGATAGCTTAGGTGATCCGAGATTCCTTCCAGCCGGACAGTAAGCGTTTTTAGACCAGGTGGTACAGCTATAAGACATTAGTGGAAGATACGTTTCTTAGTCAAATGCACTAAATATAATACTCGTTGTCATCTTGGCAAACTGTGGGTTGGAATGACAAAAGGCTCAATGTCGTAACGTTATCTAGATTCATTCCTGTGGATGTGGGTGTTTCTGTCTTGTTTGTTTTCTTCGTTCCTTTCCTCTGTAATCTGGCTGAACTAAAGGGGCTGACGAGTTAGAACCATGGGCGGTTTTGTATTTTATTGCCTAACGCAGAATGGGCAAGTTTATACTGAAATTTTATTTCATATACAGTTCATATATGGTCTGGTTATCACACAGTTTCATTTGGCATGTTAAACCTTCTCTCGACTGTATTATACTGAGTTGCCACCCTTTCGTTGATCATTAAGGAGTCCACGAGTCAGACTCAGCTGCTGAAGTGTCTTTGCAACGTCAGGATGTTCCTCGCCATAGATACTCCGCCTCATCTGTAGTGCCTGTTCAATATAGCTGACGGCCTTTCTGTAATCACCAAGGTTCCCCCAGGCGGCACCCAAGTTATGAAATGACGCGGCGATGTCAGGATGTTCAGTGCCCTTACCATAGATACTCCGCCTCATGTTTAGTGCCTGTTTAAGATAGCTGACGGCCTTTCTGTAATCACCAAGGCCACTCCAGGCGGCACCCAAGTTATGAAGTGACGCGGCGATGTCAGCATGTGGAGTGTTCTCACCATAGATACTCCGCTGCATCTGTAGTGCCTGTTCATAATAGCTGACGGCTTTTCTGTGATCACCAAGGTGACCCCAGGCGGTACCCAAGTTGTGAAGTGACCTGGCGATGTCAGGATGTTCAGTGCCGTCACCATAAATACTCCGCTGCATTGGTAGTGACTGTTCAAAATAGCTGACAGCCTTTCTGTGATCACCAAGGCCACTCCAGGCGGCACCCAAGTTGTGCAGTGACTCGGCGATGTCAGGATGTTCAGTGTCCTCACCATAGATACCCCGCCTCATCTGTAGTGTCTGTTCATAATAGCTGACGGCCTTTCTGTAATCACCAAGGTCCCTCCAGGCGGTACCCAAGTTATGAAATGACGCGGCGATGTCAGGATGTGGAGTGTTCTCACCATGGATACTCCGCAACATCTGTAGCACCTGTTCATGATAGCTGACGGCCTTTCTATGGTCACCAAGGTTCCTCCAGGCGGCACCCAAGTTGTTAAGTGACTTAGCGATGTCAGGATGTTCAGTGTCCTCACCATGGATACTTCGCTCCATCTGTAGTGACTGTTCATGATAGCTGACGGCCTTTCTGTGATCACCAAGGTGACTCAAGGCGATACCCAAGCTGGTAAGTGACGCGGCGATGTCAGGATGTGCTGTTCCCTCACCATGTTTAGCAACCTCATCCTGTAGTGCCCGTTCCGCGCATAACTTTACCTTTTCGTACTCACACAGACTGTTATACACGGCTGCTTGTAACTCTGGTGAGTTGTCGAACAGAACAGGAGGTTCTATCGTCGATGCGTACATTTCGATAAGTTGTGGAATAAAGTCCTTCAATGGCGTTGCTGTGTAATGGTACCTCATCAGTTGTTTTGTATTGGAGAAGTAAAACACTTTCTTCAACTTCTCCCCCATATCTGTGTTATCAGACATGGACGATAAGGCTGACATGTTCTCCACCTGTCCACGGTTGTTCATGTATGTCCGCAGCCTCAGTTCTGCTGAGATGCTGACCAGCACCATCAAGTGAAGCGCGTTCTCACTGTTGATGACTCCGTTCTTGTGCATCTTCTGAATAGTTTCCCATATTGTGGTGGGTTGTATACCATAGAACAGTGCCCAACACGACACTGCAAGGGTCGAAAATCGATAGATGTCTTTCTTCACATCTATCAGTCTCGATGTTGGATCTTCGAGTGTAAATGCTTGGTTATTTGTATTTTCGCTCATAATACTACATGCCTGTAACACAGATACCACCTTACCACTACTCTGTAGTAGCCGAGTCCACAATGCGGAATACGCATCGACCAGGTCCTGGTCTCCTGTGATCAAACACACGTTCCCCAATATTGTGTCGAGATGGTAGCCTTTGTTTGAATGGAAAGTCGGGTCGTCTTGCATGAGTTTGTCCATGTCACGCTGCAAGTCTTCTATTAAAACATTTGTCATCTCACTCGGTGTGTGGATAAGTTCAGCTGTTTCACCCCTGCCCAGTGGAGTCTTGCATGCATGCGGCATGGATCCGTCGAACGCGAACCCGCGCGGCGTTACAGAGTCGTAGAACCAGCTGTTCGGTGGGTCTTTAGAAAAATCATTGAGGGACTTGATCGCCATGGCCGGGAGAATGGTTTCTACTAGGTTGATGACTTTGAGATGCAGATAGTGAGTCAGGTTGCGGAAATACTTGACGTTACTCTCTGTTTCCTCCTCTATCAGGATGGCGAACTCTAGATCAGAGTACGGGGTTACTAACCCTGTGGCCAGTGAACCCAGGCCTATCATGGCGTACTTACAGGGAGGGGGACCCATTACCTCCATACATTCATCTACAAGGCCAGATATGAACGTTTTTCTCTGTTTAACAATAGTTGTTTGGAACAATGTAAAGATCGCTTCCGCTCTCTGCTTCTCTGTGTCTCTTATCTCTGGATCATCGTCATCAAGACTATAAGGATCGATCTCCTGCTCGATTTGTTTCAGCTTGTCTTCTACCTGCTCTCGGTCTTTCTTCAGTATTGATTTGTGTTTTTCTGTTTTACTGGTGTTCACTACTTGTTTGATCCCCAGCACGTGCTCAACAAATAACCGACTAAGTTGTAGGATTGTTTGTTTGATGCCTTCTCTGTCTTCTGTCCTTGCTCTGACCAGTGCGGCATTACGGAGTGCTGCAGCCTTGGTGAAGTCACTTCCGTCTTTCGACGTCTTTCCTCTTTCCAGGTAGACGTCGCTTAACCTGCACAGGGGCTCCGCCTCTTCCATGTATTGATCTATATTTGGATCTGAACAAAAGAATGGTTTAATGAATCGGCAACTATGGGTAACTCTTAGATATTTACCAATGAAAGCATATTTCCTACAAATGTCACATTGGATTACCTTTGAAATGGACGACCTTGAGTGCAGCTGCAAAGTTGTGTTCTGCCGTGTCCAGGTCTCCTGTCTGCAGGGCCCTGCAGCCCTCCTGCAGCTGTTCTGTGTACTCACTGTATTAGAGAGATGATTATATGATTCATGTTTGATCTATGATTAAAAATAGATAACGTCGTATGCCAGCATTTTTAGGACTTTTTTTTTACATTTTCATCCTAGAGAGTCGGTCTATAAAGTCACTAACGTAGGTGCAAGTTGATGAAACATTAAGGCTATTATCGGGTTATCCAAGAGCCCCCAAACTGAAGGAAGAACATTTTTGTTCACAGCATCATATAGACGATGCATTTCTCCTACCTTTTGTTCAAAGTGCTGCAAATAAAATAATGTTGGCCTGTGACTATGTTAAAAGTCCCCACCAACTGTTGCAGAATTAAAAATACTAAATTTGCCCAATTTACTTGGCTTACGACATTGTCCTTATGGGTCAAGTTAATTTGAAAAAAAAAAGGACATGGAGACGTCACTCACTTTGAATCAACTGCTGTGTTGAGGTCATGGCTTTTAGGAAGATTCCTGACCTGGAGAGGTCCAGTTGATAGCAACTTGTTTGTCTTTTCGCTCCTCGGGATCTTCTAAAAAGAATCAAGTAAAGCAGAGTACTGTCTGGGTAAATGTCTCTAGATGACATGATAACTGTTGTCTGCACTTACATCTAATAACAGATTCCGAATGAACCCCATTAACAGCAGCACCCAACCCATTCATTATTAACCATCGCGTGCAGCCGCACAATTTACACATCGTTGGTACACAGGTCACAACAAAGGAAAAGAGGACTGAAGTCATTAATAATATAGTATATAGCTGTTATATTGGTCTCCTCTTACGTCGACGTCCCAGCACAGCCGTCACCAAGAGATACAGTTGAAGTTGACCTTTAAAAATATAACCTTTTGATCAAGTAGTGCAGGGTGAGTCGTGAGGTATGTAGGGATTGATACAAAAACACAACGTGTTTGTAGGAAGACATTTAAACACTTACCCGTCTCTTTCTTTCTGCCATGGCTCTCCTGACTTTTGCTGCGTGCAGTAAGCGATGTGTGAGGACGGTTTTCCCATGTGGATCGTCACATCGCTTCAGGGCTGTGCTGTACAGGGCTGTAGCCTTGGTCAAGTGTCTGGGCTCCTTTAAGTCTCTTCCTCTCTTAAGGTTCACGTCTCCGAGACTTTTTATGGACTCTACTTCCAACAGATTGTTCTCCTGCACTATTCCTTCTACAAGAACCTTCGTGTAGCCCTCTAAGATGGAGGTCATATGGCCACCGTTTGCCAATGTCTTATCCAAGTTTTGAAAGATTTCTGCCGTCCTCACAACAGAGTCATTGCTTGTGTTCCTGTTTGAGGCAGTTATGTGCGTTTTCTGCATGAGTTTCTCGGCGAGTTTGACCCTATGTTGGAGAGACTCGCCTTCCCCCGGGTCCTCACACCAGAGCAACGCGGCCCTGTACAGGTTCAGGCCCCGCTCCAAGTTCCGCGGAGCTTCGGTCTTGTGGAGTCTTCCTTTCTCCACGTTCAAGTCTCCCAGGCTCTTCAGTACCTCCACTTCCTGCATCCTGTCCATATCAGACATGGCGGCCAGAAGGGCGCGGCCGTACCCCGTCTCGGCCAGGTCATACCTGTTAGCCGCCACAAACCTCCGGCATTGCACGTCTGCAGGGAGAAGGGTCCCCGCAACACGCAGTATGTTGGACATGGTGATCGGGCTGGTAATGGTACAGAGAACACAAGTCACTAACGAGGTCTGGAAACGACTTTCGGTCGCCACGTAATGCGAAGTGTTGGCGGGGGAATTCCAGGTGCGGTGACGTAATGTCTCTAGTTCGACTTGCGATTTTCACAGGTACTGCAGAACTCTGCCTACCTCCGCTACAGCGGAAATCCCCGACCCGACCTGTGAAGGGGATTCCCCCATGACGTCATTGTAAACACCTGCGGAAGTACCTGGCCTGTTAAACATTGGCTAGAAATACCCGGGAATTTTCAAAGCTGTATTGCCGAGGTAAGCCATTAATGCAAACCCTGAAAAAAGCCAAACTTGGATGTTACATATCAATGGAAAGTGTTTGTTGTGTGTATCGATATTTGTGTGACCGACGATCTTTTAAAATATACTCTCAGCTGGCAAGACTTCAGGTTTCGTTCAATTCAATTCAATTCCATTCAATTCTTTATTTCAATACCAACATTGCAGACATACAATATAACACTATAATGTTGCCTGAATAGCATTGGTATTTACATCATTACATTAAAATAAACACATAACATTATACATACATATATATTCATGAATATATACATACTACTGACATGATCTGTACATCCTAGGTATGACAAGTTATGATTATACAGTCTGATTGTAGACTGGTCTGATAGGCTGATGCAGGAAAGAGTTCTTAAGTCTTTTTGTTCTGGCTGGGGGCATGGATATGGTGTTTATGTTTCTAATCGAGTGTCCAGTTAACCGTCTCTTGTGAGATATAGCTTGGGTGATACATACCTCCTTTTATACTCACGACGTCGCTGCTGAAGACGTTAACGGTTTGTTGTTATGATCTTCTACTTATTACTAGGCTTCTACTTTGGAACCCTGATACAAAGAGTTGGACGTCCAAACATAACACTTAAGAAACTTATAGAAACTGAAACAGGCTTCAGTTCAGTTCAGTTCATCCTTCAATCAGGTGACACGATGTACTGCCTCCACAAGTTCCTGTCGCGCATGACAGAGGACAGTTCAGCACCGCCCAGCCCTATGTACCCCTCTATCACCTTCTTCAGAGTTAAAGAAGGGCCAGGAACTTATTTCTGCGATGAATGACAAACAGTTCTGGAGATCAAACTTTGTATGCTCCACCTCTTCGGAGGTTGATAGATGATGTTATGATCTTAAGACCGGAAATCCCCGGCCCGACCTGTGAGGGGGATTACCCCATGTCGTCATTGTAAACACCTGCGGAAGTAGCTGTTAAACATTGGCTAGAAATACCCGGGAATTTTCAAAATGTATTATTCACAATATTAAGGAAAGACAATGATTTCGAACTTCTAAAATGCCGAATTTCGGTATTATGTCTCACTATCAAACAAGTTTTGATGCTGTTGTTGAACATCGTTTTGCGTATATTGTCGCTATATATACAATGTATATGACCACGCTATATTCTATTCTCAGCTTGCAATCATATATACCATCACTAACCGAGTTCACTGACCTTCATTTTTACAGATATGATATGCGCCCTACTCTTGAGTAATCTGGCCGGATCGTAGGTACATTTCTGTTCTTAACTACATGTAGATATGGTAAATAATTGACAAATTCAGTCTCACACTTATAAAAGTCGTAAGCTGTGGTGAATTATTTATTCATTACAGTCAGTCATTTTTGGGTCAGTCAGTCCTCACTACTTGTGAGAAATTGGGCTGGTCTCAATCATGATGTTTCTGACTCAGGAAGAAGAGTTGCTGTTACAGTTCTACCCGGTAACCAGTGACCCAGGTGAATGGTAATACCATTCAGGTGATACCATTCAGGTGATACCATTCAGGTGGTAATACCATTCAGGTGATAATACCATTCAGGTGGCAATGCCATTCAGGTGGTTAACCAACCTTGAAGTGGCCTAATGGCCGTGTTACGTGGCGACCACTAAGGAATAAAAAAAAAGTCGGACCCATGGAACACGATGGCAAATGTCATCTTGGCAAACGGTGGGACGAAATAACCGAACTATCCTACCTATCAACTTCATCTATTCGTTGCTTTAAAAGTAGGTGTCTTGTTTATTTCCTGTGTCTTTTTCCTGTGTAATCTGACTGAATTAGAATAGGATGCTAAAAATCTGATGTTAACCACCTTGATTGGAAGGAATAATTAGTAAGTAATAAACATGTCTTGGGCAGCGTTGTATTTTATTGCCGCACTATGAAGTGGTAAAGTTCATAATGAAATTTTATTTCATACATAGTTGATAGTAAGTTTAATAGCCCGGTTAAAGTCACCTTACAGTTCCATTTGGCATATTGATTAAACCCTCTCTCGTAAGTATTGTAATGACTATTCTCGTTACTCGTAGTTGGCGCCCTTTTAGTGCTCACCAAGAAGTCTACGAGAAACAATCAGCCCTATCAGTGTCTTTACAACGTCAGGATGTTTGTCATCCTCACCATGGATACTCCGCCACATCTGCAGTGCCTCTTCTAAATACCTGACGGCCTTTCTATGATCACCAAACGTCAACCAGGCGACACCCAATTGTTGAAGTGACGTGGCGATGTCAGTATGTTCAGTGTTCTCACCATAGAGACTCCGCCTCATCTGTAGTGACTGTTCATGATAGCTGACGGCCTTTCTGTGATCACCAAGGTCCCTCCAGGCGTTACCCAAGTTGAGAAGTGACCCGGCGATTTCAGGATGTTCAGTGTCCTCACCATAGATACTCCGCCACTTCTGTAGTGCCTGTTCATAATAGCTGAGGGCCTTTCTATAATCACCAAGGTCACTCCAGGCGTTACCCAAGTTGCTAAGCGACGCGGCGATGTTTAGATGTGGAGGTACATGGATACTCCGACTCATCTTTAAAGCTTGTTCCAAATAGCTGACGGCCTTTCTGTGATCACCAAGGTGATTCAAGGCGTCACCCAAGTTGTTAAGTGACGCAGCGATGCCAGGATGTTCAGTGTCCTCACCATGGATACTCCGCATCATTTGTAGTGCCTGTTCATAATAGCCGACGGCCTTTCTGTGATCACCAAGGTTACTCCAGGCGTCACCCAAGTTGTGAAGTGACGAGGCGATGTGAGGATGTGCTTTGTCCTTACCATGTATACTTCGCAGCATTTGCAGTGCTTGTTCATAATAGCTGACGGCCTTTCCGTATTCAACAAGGTGATTCCAGGCGCTGCCTAAGTTCCTGAGTGACAAGGCGATGTCAGGATGTGCAGTTCCCTTACCATAGATAATCTGCATCATCTGTAGTGTCTGTTCAAAATAACTAATGGCCTTTCTGTAATCACCAAGGTGACTCCAGGCGGTACCCAAGTTGTTAAGTGCGCCGGCAATGTCAGGATGCGGAGTGTTCTCCCCATACATACTCTGCATCATCTGTAGTGACTGTTCATTATATTTGACGGCCTTTCCGTAATCACCAAGGTCCCTCCAGGCGGTACCCAAGTTGTTGAGCGACTTGGCGATGTCAGGATGTTCCTTGTCCTCACCATGGACAATCCTGAACATCTGTAGTGCCTGTTCAAAATGACTGACGGCCTTTCCATGATCGCCAAGCTGGCTCCAGGTGGCACCCAAGTTGTGAAGTGACACGGCGATGGCAGGATGTTCAGTATCCTCACCAAATATACTCCGCATCATCTGCAGTGACTGTTCATAATAACTGACGGCCTTTTTGTAATTGCCAAGATTCCGCCAGGCGCTACCCAACTCGCTAAGTGAGCCAGCGATATTAAAATGGGCGTTTCCTCTACCGTATGTAGAAAAAACATCCTGTAGTGCCAGTTCCGCGCATGATTTTGCTTTTTCATACTCACACAGACTCGTGTATACGTCTGCTTGTATGTTTGGTGAGTTGTCAAACAGAACAGGGGGTCTTACCGATGGTTGGGGGAATTGGATAAGCTGTGAAATAAAGACCTTCAATGGTATTGCCGTGCTATGGTACCGCATCAGTTGCATTGTATTGGAGAAGTAAAACACTTTATTCAACTTCTCCTCCATATCTGTGTTATCAGACATGGACGATAAGGCTGACATGTTCTCCACCTGTCCACGGTTGTTCATGTATGTCCGCAACCTCAGTTCTGCTGAGATGCTGACCAGCACCATCAAGTGATGCGCGTTCTCACTGTTGATGACTCCGTTTCTGTTCATGTTCTGAATAGTCTCCCAGATTGTCGTGGGTTGTATACCGCGGAGTAGCGCCCAACACGACACTGCAAGGGTCGAAAATCGATAGATTTCTTTCTTCACATCTATCAGTCTAGATGTTGGAGCTTTGGGTGAAAACGTTTGGATATTTGTATCTTCTCCCATTATGCTCAATGCCTGTGACTTAGATAATGCCCCTTTACAAGGTTCGGGTTTCTGAGTCCATAAAGTGCAATACGCATCGACCAAGTCCTGCTCTCCTGTGATCAAACATACATTCCCCAAGATGCTGGCGAGATGGTAGCCCTCCTTAAAATACACATTCAGGTCGTCCAGCATGATTTTGGTCATCGCACTTGGCGTGTGAATAAGTTCAGCTGTTTCGCCCCTGCCTAGTGGAGTCTTGCATGCTTTTGGCATGGAGCCGTCAAATGCAAACCCACGTGGTGTAACAGAGTCATAGAACCAGTTGTCAAGTGGGTCATCTGAGTAGAAGTCATTCAGACTTTTTATCCCCAAGGCTGGGAGGATGGTTTCTCCCAGGTTGACCACTTTCAGGTGCAGGTAGTGAGTCAGTCGGCGGAAATACGCGGTATTTGCTCCATTTTCCTCCTCTACCAAGATGGCAAACTCCAGGTCTGAGTATGGAGTTACCAGTCCTGTGGCCTGTGAACCCAAACCTAACAGGGCATACTTACAGGGAGGGGGACCCATCACTGAGATACACTCATCTACTAGCTGCCCTATGAACTCTTTTCTTTCTTTTGCAATTTTCTCGAACAACTGCCTGACAACATTGGCCCGCTTAGCTTCTGTCCCCCAAACTAACAGACTTTTCTCATCATATACGTAGGGATTCACCTTGTCGATGGTTTCCATTTCTTGTGAGATTTGGCCCCGTATTTTACTGAGCTGGTTTTTATGTTTACGAGTGTTACCCACGTACTGACTTTCAGGAATACCATCCAAAGATAGGCTGTACGTGAGAAACTGTCTTTCTGCCTCCATAACTGCGTTGGCAAGCTCGCGTTTTGAGGCACTGTCCCCTGACCTGGCTACTGCTGCATGGTAAAGACCTACTGCCTTGACAAAGTCTCCCCCGTCTCCTGTTTGACAGCCTCGCCTGCAGTAGACATCCCCCAACTTGCGCAGCGGTGAGACTTCTCTTTCGTACTGTAGAACTGTGGGATCTGTAGAAAACAAACTTTGTACATTTAGAGTCTATAGAACATTAGGTCATCCTCCTGATAGCAACTTAAAATTTATAATGGTTGCACTGAGGTGACTGTAACGAGTACACGCCAGAATGTACGACAAATGTTTAAAGTAAAATGTTGAACTTTACTACCAACACATATGATACAAATGTCAAAGCTGTTTGGCATTTAAGTAAGAATTTCCTACATTTGACATGTACAAGCTTGAGTGCCTCTGCAAAGCGCTGCTCTGCTGAGTCCAGGACTCCTCTCTGTACATCCTGATCACCTTTCTGGAGGTGTTCTTCGTACTGCCTGGAGAAGGTTGCATAAGGAACAATATTAATTCTTGAAAGATTGTAGGGCTTCCAAAAGCCATTAAGCTATAGGAGAATCCCTTGTCTGTATTTTGTTTACAGCGATGGTTGCTTTCTGCTATATTGTTTTCAGTTCAACTGTTGCTGACATCACTTGTGCAAGTAACTGATATTAATTCTGGTTAATGATGATTACTTATTCCCATTACGTCATGATTCAAACATCTTGACTTCAGGAAACGACAAGGCTAAGTATTCTCTGAAAGTGAGAGACAGACAGGATAAATTCAACAAATCACGTACCTTAAATCATCTGCTGTAAGGAGGCTATGATCTTGAGGGATATTTAAAGGAGAATCCTTTACGATTTTAGAACCAGATGATTGTTCTTTGTCTGTCTTTTTGCCCTTAGCTACTGACGCCTTCTGGAAAAACGTCAACAGATTGTTAGACTTAAAATACAACTTTACTACCTAACGATTATCAGTAATAAGAGGTTTCTACATTCGTGATCAAAGCAGATTTCAAAGAATTGATAGCCTTCATACATGAATAAACAACAACACCCCTTCCATTGATAAGCAGCGCCCGCAACAATGCCAAGGTCCACTGATCATGCAATGCCTGGTCTTGCCTGGCTGGGCGGTAAAAACGCTGGGCGGTCATGGGACCTGCCATTGGTTGCTACCAACACGGTCTCTGTTGGTACACAGGTTGACAGTATGGAAGGAACAAGAATAGCCTAAAGACTAAAGACTAACATACACGATATAGAAAAAAACAGGCTGACGTCACCGGCACCTCTGGTTGTTATTACTTAGGTGTAAAAGCGTAGATAAGCTGGTGTATGATTCACCGTTATAGGGATGTTGTCATTGACAACAAAGCATGAAATTTTATTCTATGAACAAAGTAAACACCTACATGTACCTGCTGTCTCCTTCTATCCAAAATGTCCCTCCTGACTTTTGCTGCGTGCAGTAAGCGATGTGTGAGCACGGTTTTCCCATGTGAATCGTCACATCGTTCCAGGGCTGTGCTGTACAGGGCTGTAGCCTTGGTCAAGTGTTGTGGATTCTTTAAGTCCTTTCCTCTCTTAAGGTTCACGTCTCCGAGACTTTTTATAGCCTCTTCTTCCAACAGATTGTTCCTCTCCGCTATTCCTTCTACAAGAACCTTCGTGTAGCCCTCTAAGATGGAGGTCATATGGCCACCGTTAGCCAGTTTCTTGTCCAAGTTTTGAAAGACTTCTGAAGTCCGTGCAACAGAATCAATGCTTGTGTTCCTGATTGAGCCAGCTATGGGCGTTTTCTGCCTGAGTTTCTCGGCGAGTTTGACCCTATGTTGGAGGGACTCGCCTTCCCCCGGGTCCTCACACCGGAGCAGCGCGGCCCTGTACAGGTTCAGGCCCCGCTCCAAGTTCCGCGGAGCTTCGGTCCTGTGGAGTGTTCCTTTTTCCACGTTCAAGTCTCCCAGGCTCTTCAGTACTTCCACTTCCTGCATCCTGTCCATATCAGACATGGCGGCCAGAAGGGCGCGGCCGTACCCCGTCTCGGCCAGGTCATACCTGTTAGCCGCCACAAACCTCCGGCATTGCACGTCTGCAGGGAGAAGGGTCCCCGCAACACGCAGTATGTTGGACATGGTGATCGAGCTGGTAATGGTACAGAGAACATAAGTTACTAACGAGGTCTAAAAATGACTTTCAGACGCCAGGAAATGCAGAAGTGTCGTAAAGGGAATACCAAGTGCGATGACGTAATCTTAAGACTTTAGTCAGGTCTGTCTCTAGCTAGTTCGACTTGCGACTTTAACAGGTACCAAAGATATCTGCTTACCTCCGCTACACCGGTGCAAAATAGTCGGAAAGAAGCACAAAAACGCTGACGGGGTACATTTGCGCCTTAGTCTTTTGCCCAGTGTTCCCACTGATGTTCACAAAACAATCTTTATAGTGATATAGTCGGTCGTGTTTTCCTCTGTGTTGTCCTTAACAACAGAACTTCTGGTAAGTTCCAACGTGGAAACCCCCAGTGACTCATGGCCTCCTGACGTCATTGTGAATACCTGCAGCATCAGGTGTCAGCAGTAAACAAAGGTTTTATTTGTGAAGCAGCGGCTAAAAATACGCGGGACTTTCCAGCAGTTTCCAATGCTGAATGTGTTTTGTTGACGATTTTAAAACAAAATCAAGATGCCTCCGATGCCTGGTAAGGAAATACGCTTGATGGCACCGGCATCAACTTTGAGTTGGAATGAACTATTCACCATTGCATCATTATAACACATACAACAGTATTTAAGCTGAATTTTAGATGATGTTGTTCTTTGTCACAAAAGCTACTTTTAGTACTATGTACGTATAGGATGATGTGTTTTGACTCCACATACACCATTCGAATTCTCTTCGTTTCTCTGTGATAGTGAAAATATAATATCATACTTAAGCTTGTTTAAGGATTAGAGGTTTGTCTATGGGTATGGGTATGGAGCAAAGTCTCGCTCGCGTTGGTTAAACCCCACGGTTACAGCAATGGAAGACGAGCAGTTCTGATAACTGTGTTTTGTTTGCTACAGCTCTTAACGAGGAAAATAATAGATTTTTATATTGATTTGCCGCTAAGTTGTCCCACTCCTGTGTTCTACCGAACCTTCGGTCGTGTGAGTCGGCCATGTTGTCCTTGATGACAAGTCAATCAATCGATCAATCAATCAATCAATCAATCAATCAATCAATCAATCAACAAGTCAAGTCAAAGTTTATTGCGCAACAATCAGGTACAACGTATGGCAAATAACACTTAATGACTGTAAACTATTTCTACTAGCGTACTAATCTAACCTATCATTCAATATATGTACATGTTATGATGGAAACCACAGTTCACATCGTTATGACACGGTGTTTAGCGTTCTTAGTTGTAGCGATTTTTTTCTTATTCCCACGGAATACACTAGTCATTGCCATCATGGCAAACTGTTGGTCATAGTTAATGAACTTAAACTACCAAACGCATGAAGTCAGTTTATTTACTCATTGCTTTTAAAGTAGGTATTGTTTGTGTGCTGTGCTATTTTATTTCTCCGTATATTCTGGCTGAATTAAATGGACTGAAAACTTAAAACTAGGTGATTTGACTCAGGTTTACTTAACATCAGTATAAGCTATACTAGAACAGTTCAGATTGAGATTTTATTAAGATTTTATTCTATTGAAGCACTTAGCATGACGCAAATTATTCTGTTACAGAAGTCGTCCTATGATGAATGTGGTTTCCGTTATCGTAATAACCTGCTACCGACCACGTCTGTAGTGACTAGTCTTAATAGTAGGCCGCCTCTCCGTGATAACCAATCAGCTCGCACATACGAACCAGGCTCAGGGCCTTAAGTGTCTTTGCAACAGCAGGATGTTCGTCATCCTCACCATAGATACTCCGCCACATCTGCAGTGCCTGTTCTAAATATCTGACAGCCTTCCTGTGATCACCAAGAAACCCACACATGGCACCCAAGTTGTTAAGTGACATAGCGATGTCAGGATGTGGAGTGTTCTCACCATGGATATTCCGCATCATCGATAGTGCCTGTTCATAATAGCTGACGGCCTTTCTGTGATCACCAAGGAGCCTCCAGGCGTTGCCCAAGTTGGTAAGTGACGTGGCGATGCCAGGATGTTCAGTGTCCTCACCATGGACATTCCGCCACATCTGTAGAGCCTGTTCGTTATAGCTGGCGGCCTTTCTGTGATCACCAAGGAGCGCCCAGGCGTTACCCAAGTTGTTAAGTGACGTGGCGATGTCGGGATGTTCAGTGTCCTCACATTGGATTTTCTGCCTCATACGTAGTGCCTGTTCATAAAAGCTGACGGCCTTTCTGTGATCACCAAGGTAACTCCAGGCGTTACCCAAGTTGTGAAGTGCCATGGCGATGTCAGGATGTTCAGTGTCCTCACCATGGATACTCCGCCTCATCTGTAGTGCCTGTTCATGATAGCTGACGGCCTTTCTGTAATCACCAAGGTCACTCCAAGCGAGACCCAAGTTGTTAAGTGAGTCGGCGATGTCAGGATGTTCGGTGTTCTCACCATAGATACTCCGCCTCATCTGTAGTGACTGTTCATAACAGCTGACAGCCTTTCTGTGATTACCATGTTCCCTCCAGGCGTTACCCAAGTTGTTAAGTGAGTGGGCGATGTCAGGATGTGCTTTTCCCTCGCCGTGTTTTGCAACCTCATGCTGTAGTGCCACTTCCATGCATGATTTTGCTTTTTCGTACTCACACAGACTTTTATATACGGCTGCTTGTAAGGTTGGTGAGTTGTGAAGCAGAACAGGAGGTTCTACCGTCGATGGGTATATGATGATAAGTTCTAGAATAAAGGACTTTAATGGCATTGCTGTACTATGGTACCTCATCAGTTGTTTTGTATTGGAGAAGTAAAACACTTTCTTCAATTTCTCCCCCATATCTGTGTTATCAGACATGGACGATAAGGCTGACATGTTCTCCACCTGTCCACGGTTGTTTATGTATGTCCGCAGCCTCAGTTCTGCTGAGATGCTGACCAGCACCATCAAGTGATGCGCGTTTTCACTGTTGATGACTCCGTTTTTGTGCATCTTCTGAATAGTCTCCCATATTGTGGTGGGTTGTATACCGCAGAGTAACGCCCAACACGAAACTGCAAGGGTCGAAAATCGATAGATTTCTTTCTTTACATCTAGCAGTCTTGATGTTGGATCTTCCAGTGTAAATGTTTGGTTATTTGTATTTTCGCTCATAATACTCCATGCCTGTAACGCAGATATTACTCCTTTACTGCCTTGGAGGTGCTCAGTCCACAAGGCGGAAAACACATCGACCAAGTCCTGCTCTCCTGTGATCAAACACACATTCCCCAAGATGCTGGCGAGATGGTAGCTTTTCTTTAAATACATAGTCAGGTCGTCTTGCATGATTCTAGTCATCTTACTCGGTGTGTGAATAAGTTCAGATGTTTCACCCCTGCCCAGTGGAGTCTTGCATGCTTGCGGCATGGATCCGTCGAACGCGAACCCGCGCGGCGTTACAGAGTCGTAGAACCAGCTGTTCGATGGGTCTTTGGAGGAGAAATCATTGAGTGACTTAATCGCCATGGCCGGGAGAATGGTTTCTCCCAGGTTGATGACTTTGAGATGCAGATAATGAGTGAGGTTGCGGAAATACTCGACGTTACTCTCTGTTTCCTCCTCTATCAGGATGGCGAACTCCAGATCAGAGTACGGGGTTACTAACCCTGTGGCCTGTGAACCCAGGCCTATCATTGCGTACTTACAGGGAGGGGGGCCCATTACCTGCATACATTCATCTACAAGGCCAGATATGAACGTTTTTCTCTGTTCAACAATTGTTGTTTGGAACAATGTTAAGATTGCTTCGGCTCTCTGCTTCTCCACTTCTCTTATCTCTGGATCATCGTCATCAAGACTATAAGGATCGATCTCCTGCTCGATTCGTTTCATCTTTTCTTCTACATGCTCTCGGTCTTTCTTCATTATTGATGTGTGTTTCACTGAGTCACCGATGTCCACTACATGTTTGATCCCCAGCACGTGTTCAACAAATAACTGGCTAACTTGTATGATTGTTTGTTTGATGTCTTGTCTGTCTTCTGTCCTTGCTCTGACCAGTGCGGCATTACGGAGTGCTGCAGCCTTGGTAAAATCACTTCCATCTTTCGACTTCTTTCCTCTTTCCAGGTAGACATCGCTTAACCTGCACAGGGGCTCCGCCTCTTTCTTGTATTTGTCTGTATTTGGATCTAAAGTTAACAACAGTTTAAGGTTATAAAAGCCAGTGACTAGATTTTTAACTAATCGGTAATATTTCAACTCGCACAAATCAACTCTTTAAACTGGTGGCTTGAGTACTATTTAGCACTGCCAATAATGTATCTAAGTTTAGGACTTTGCAGTTTTCCTTATAACGTATAGAGGGCGTTGTCGTGAGTGATATTTTGTCTGTGCTTTATTAATGGTGATTTTAGAATTATAACATGAAGCATACACAGTGCCAAATTTCAATTAGACTTGAATTTGTTATTTTCCTAAAATGATTTCCGAGTGTTGACTTTTTTTAGGTACGTACGTTTGATATGGACGGCCCTGAGCGCAGCTGCAAAGTGCTTCTCTGCCGTGTCCAGGTCTCCTGTCTGCAGGGCCCTGCAGCCCTTCTGTAGTTGCTCTCTGTACACCCTGCAACACAGGATCATGTAATACTTATTTGCTTTATAAACAGAAATAAATCACGCGGAATATCAGCATTGGCAGGACAGATATTGAAGTGTTGATTTCCGTTTTCTGCATGTTCTTTGTGCTGCCTCATGGGAGAGGAATTACATATAACTTTACCGTGAAGACTTGTCTGAAAGCCCTGGATGTTGGGTGGATGGTTCACATGTTAAAACATGGATGAAACTCGACTGAATAGAAGACATGAAAACTCGATTGCCGTCACTCACCTTAAATTATTCGCTATATAGAGGTCAAGACCTTGAGGAATAGTCGAAGTGACCTTCTTAGATTCACCTGGCAGCCACTTGTCTGTCTTTTTGTCCCTTGGACTCATCTGAAAAGTACCAAGTAGCAACCATGATATCTGAGATACCAAATGCTTACAGATGATAACAATCGACTACTAAAATCAAAGAAAAGGTTAAAAATTACCTTTAACACATGGATGAACTACATAAGCAGCAACGTCCCACCCTTTGATAAGCATGGCGTGCAGCTATACAACTTGTTTGGCTCATGTTTCATAATTTATAAGTGAACAGCATCACACAACCGTTAATAGGCACACAACCAACACTGTATACCCACTAATGTACATGTAATGCAACACTGTCTACTCATTCATCAACGAACAGTAGACTGAGCAAACATAACACCGTACAGGTCAGAAGGTCATCGGTTACCACAAACACAGGAGCTTTGTTGGTACACAGGTGACAATAACAAAGGGAAAGGACGGATCACTTTAATACACCTGTACATTTACTGCATAGCAGAGGCAAGTAGTTAGTGTCATAGCGTGAGGTACAGCAATCCGCTAAGAGATACATGTATGGTCGCTTATATATTTTTGTAAACAATATGAGTTAAGGTTTGGTTATAGCATGCCTTTGTGAGGTATGTTGGTAACGGTACCAAAACACAAAACTCAAGATGTTGGTCTATGAACGAAGCAAACCTTACCCGTCTGAATAATTATAGTTCACAATTAACCAAACATTTATCTAACAACAGATTCACAATTAGCACCTGAATAAACACGATAAACATGTTGGCAACTGTACACAATATTATTTTAGGAAGTAAAACACATACCCGTCTCCTTCTTTCCACCATGTCCTTCCTGACTTTTGCTGCGTGCAGTAAGCGATGTGTGAGGACGGTTTTCCCATGTGGATCGTCACATCGCTCCAGGGCTGTGCTGTACAGGGCTGTAGCCTTGGTCAAGTGTCTGGGCTCCTTTAAGTCTCTTCCTCTCTTAAGGTTCACGTCTCCGAGACTTTTTATAGCCTCTACTTCCAACAGATTGTTCCCCTCCGCTATTCCATCTACAAGGTTCTTAGTGTAGCCCTCTAAGATGGAGTCCATATGGCCACCGTTCGCCCGTTTCCTGTCCAAGTCTTGAAAGACTTCTGAAGTCCTCGCAACAGAGTCAATGCTTGTGTTCCTAGTTGATCCAGCTATGGGCGTTTTCTGCCTGAGTTTCTCGGCGAGTTTGACCCTATGTTGGAGAGACTCGCCTTCCCCCGGGTCCTCACACCGGAGCAGCGCGGCCCTGTACAGGTTCAGGCCCCGCTCCAAGTTCCGCGGAGCTTCGGTCTTGTGGAGTCTTCCTTTCTCCACGTTCAAGTCTCCCAGGCTCTTCAGTACCTCCACTTCCTGTAGCCTGTCCATATCAGACATGGCGGCCAGAAGGGCGCGGCCATACCCCGTCTCGGCCAGGTCATACCTGTTAGCCGCCACAAACCTCCGGCATTGCACGTCTGCAGGGAGAAGGGTCCCCGCAACACGCAGCATGTTGGACATGGTGATCGGGCTGGCAATGGTACAGAGAACATAAGTCACTAACAAGGTCTAAAAATGACTTTCAGAGGCCAGGAAGTGCAGAAGTGTCGGAAGGGGAATACCAAGTGCGATGGCGTAATCTTATGACTTTAGTCAAGTCTGTCTCTAGTTCAACTTGCGACTTTAACAGGTACCAAAAATCTCTGCTTACCTCCGCTACACGGATGCAAAATAGTCGGAAGAAAGAAGCACAAAAACGCCGAAGGGGTAGATTTTCGCCTTAGTCTGTCGCCCAGTGGTCCCACTGATGTTCCTAGAACCATCTCTAAGGGATAGTAGGCTGTGTTTTCCTCGGTTGTGTCCTTAACAAGAAGAACACTGGTAAGTCCCGACTTGCGAGGGGATTCCCATGACCTCCTGACGTCATTGTGAATACCTGCGGCATCAGGTGTCAGCAGTAAACAAAGGTGTTATTTGTGAAGCAGCGGCTAAAAATACGCGGGACTTTCCAACAGTTTCCAATGCTGTGTTACTGACAGTTACAATTAAAACGCTTTCTCGAATTCAGACAAAACAGAATTTAGATACTATGAGCTCCCGTCGTGTTTTATTGTTAGTTTTTTTACAGACATGCATACACCTGTTTTACTTTCGCTTGAGCATATTTACAATACGACTCTAGGACATGACGGGTCGAAATCCCAGTAATAGGTGGTTCGTACAGGACCTAGGCAAATATACACAACGAGTCCTTCGCTATCCCCAACTGGCTAGCAGCCATTATATTGTTGTACACATTTGCCGATGACCACTGGATCAGCAATCTTTGTTATTGAGGTTATAAATTCCCGACTGTTGTCAGTTTTTTTTTTCAACCAAACTTCGGTGGTGTTAGTTGGCCGTGTTGTCCTTAATAACATAAATTCTGTACGCAAAAATGATGACCAATGAGGCCATGGCCTATGATATGCAACACCACAATGAATTATCATTAACGTCTCTTTCACAACATCGTACTTACGCCTATTCAAGGTACCTCTATTTCCTTTAGTACAGCGATATTTTGACGCAAAATTTGTAAGGTATGTTACAGGCCCTGCTTGGCCAGACAAAGACAAGAATGAAGCCAGTCAAGGGAGGAGTTCCTCCGCAGGAGCGACGACACCCTGGATTGAGAGGGAGAGATACAGGCCTCGTGGCAAACTGTGGGTCGTAATCAATAATGGGTATTTCTCCGAACTCCTTGCCGACCTTGGCGTCCAGACGTGACCAGGCAACACTACGTGTCCTCCTGAGTATCCTGGACGATAAGGACAACCCGCTGAACTGTTTCATTTCCCGTCCTTTACACAGTGGCTATGACCTCCGGCGAGTCAGACATGTTATGACTTCACAAAGCCGTACAAAGAGACATGAACTTTCGTTCTTCCCTAGAGCGAACTGTATAAGAACTGAACGAACTTGTATAAGAACTGAACTCTGTTCATCACTTAAATTGTATTTTTAACTGGTTTTTAATTATGCTGCTTTTAATCGTTGTCTTCATGTTGAGAGCTTTTACTGTACTTGTCAACGAATTTCATTTCACATTTTCTGTGAATCTATGTACATGCCAATTGATTTAAATAAATTGAATTGAATTCAAGCACTTGGACTCGTAACGTTGGTTTATTTATTCAATACATGTACATTGGAAGTTGCTGTTCTTTATGTGTTGTTCTCCTTTCCCAGTGTATTCTGAATTAGAGAGACTGAGAACTAAGACATGGTTCACATTCATAATTGTCTGACAATGATCACTGACAAGTTCCAATTGACATTTTCTTCTATTGAAGCACTTGGCATGACACAGATTACCATGTAACATAAGTTGTTATATAGTTATGCATATGTCATGATGATAGTCTTTTGCCAACATTTTCTGACGTAACTATTCTTGACAGTTGGTGGCCTCTCCGCGATCAACAATGAGGCTACGAGCCAGACTCAGCCCCTTAAGCGTCTTTGCAACGTCAGGATGTCCGTCATCCTCACCATGGATACTCCGCATCATTTGTAGTGCCTGTTCAAAGTAGCTGACGGCCTTTCTGTGATCGCCAAACATCAACCAGCCGGCACCCAAGATGTTGAGTGACGTGGCGATGTCAGGATGTTCATTGACCTCACCATGGATACTCCTGTTCATCTGTAGTACCTGTTCATAATAGCTGACGGCCTTTCTGTGATCACCGAGGCCCCTCCAGGCGTTACCCAAGTTGTTAAGTGACGCGGCGATGTCAGGATGTTCAGTGTCCTCACCATAGATACTCCGCCTCATCTGTAGTGACTGTTCATGATAGCTGACGGCCTTTCTGTAATCACCAAGGTTCCACCAGGCGGTACCCAAGTTGTTAAGTAACGTGGCGATGTCAGGATGTTCAGTGTCCTTACCATGGATATTCCACCTCATCTGTAGTGCCTGTTCAAAATAGCTGACGGCCTTTCTGTGATCACCAAGGTTACTCCAGGCGGCACCCAAGCTGTTGAGTGACCCGGTGATGTCAGGATGTTCAGTGTCCTCATTATGGATACTCCGCATCATCTGTAGCACCTGTTCATGATAGCTGACGGCCTTTCTGTGATCTCCAAGGTCAGCCCAGGCGTTACCCAAGCCGTGAAGTGACTTGACGATGTCGAGATGTTCAGTGTTCTCACCATGGATGTTCCGCCTTATCTGTAGTGCCTGTTCATGATAGCTGACGGCCTTTCTGTGATCACCAAGGTCCCGCCAGGCGTTACCCAAGTTGCCAAGTGACGCGGCGATGTCAGGATGTTCAGTGTCCTCACCATAGATACTCCGTCTCATCTGCAGTGCCTGTTCATGATAGCTGACGGCCTTTCTGTGATCACCAAGGTCCCGCCAGGCGTTACCCAAGTTGTGAAGTGACGCGGCGATGCCAGGATGTTCTGTGTTCTCACCATAGATACTCCGCATCATCTGTAGCGACTGCTTATGGTAGCTGACGGCCTTTCTGTAATTGCCAAGGCCACTCCAGGCGTTACCCAAGTTGTTAAGTGATCCGGCGATGTCAGGGTGTGCTTTGTCCTCACCATGGATTTTCCGACTCATCTGTAGTGACTGTTTATGATAGCTGGCGGCCTTTCTGTGATCACCAAGATGACTCCAGACAGTACCCAAGCTGTTAAGTGAGTGCGCGATGTCAGGTTGTTCAGTGTTTTCTGCATAGATACTCTGCATCATCTGTAGTGACTGTTCATGATAGCTGACGGCCTTTCTGTAATAACCAAGGCCACTCCAGGCGTTACCCAAGTTGTAAAGTGACTCGACGATGTCAGGATGTTCGGTGTTCTTACCATAGAAACTCCGCCTCATCTGTAGTGACTGTTCATAATAGCTGGCGGCCTTTCTGTGATCACCAAGGTCACTCCAGGCGTTACCCAAGTTGTTAAGTGACTGGGCGATGTCAGGATGTTCAGTGTCTTCACCATAGATACTCCGCCTCATCTGTAGTGACTGTTCATGATAGCTGACGGCCTTTCTGTGATCAGCAAGGTGTCTCCAGGCGTTACCCAAGTTGTGAAGTGACTGGGCGATGTCAGGATGTTCAGTGTCCTCACCATGGATACTCCGCCTCATCTGTAGTGCCTGTTCGTGATAGCTTACGGCCTTTCTGTTATCACCTAGGCTACTCCAGGCGGTACCCAAGCTGTTTAGTGACGTGGCAATGTCAGGATGTGGAGTGTCCTCACCATAGATACCCCGCATCATCTGTAGTGCCTGTTCATAATAGCTGACAGCCTTTCTATGATCACCAATGTGACTCCAGGAGTTACCAAAGTTGTGAAGTGACTGGGCGATGTCAGGATGTTCAGTGTCTTCACCATGGATACTTCGCTCCATCTGTAGTGACTGTTCATGATAGCTGACGGCGCTTCTGTAATCACCGAGGTGACTCCAGGCGACACCCAAGTTGTTGAGTAACGCAGCAACGTCAGGATGTTCTCTTCCCTCGCCGTGTTTAGCAACCTCATGCTGTAGTGCCACTTCCATGCATGATTTTGCTTTTTCGTACTCACACAGACTTTTATATACGGCTGCTTGTAAGGTTGGTGAGTTGTGAAACAGAACAGGTGGTTCTACCGTCGATGGGTATATTTCGGTAAGTTGTAGAATAAAGACCTTCAATGGTGTTGCTGTGTAATGGTATCTCATCAGTTGTTTTGTATTGGAGAAGTAAAACACTTTCCTCAACTTCTCCCCCATATCTGTGTTATCAGATATGGACGGTAAGGCTGACATGTTCTCCACCTGTCCACGGTTGTGCATGTATGTCCGCAGCCTCAGTTCTGCTGAGATGCTGACCAGCACCATCAAGTGATGCGCGTTCTCACTGTTGATGACTCCGTTCTTGTTCATAATCTGAATAGTCTCCCATATTGTGGTGGGCTGTATACCATAGAGTAGCGCCCAACACGACACCGCAAGGGTCGAAAATCTATAGATGTCTTTCTTCACATCTAGCAGTCTAGATGTTGGATCTTCGAATGTAAATGTTTGGTTATTTGTATTTTCGCTCATAATACTCGATGCCTGTAACGCAGGTATTACCCCTTCACTGCTTTGGAGTTTCTGAGTCCACAAGGCGGAATACACATCGACCAAGTCCTGCTCTCCTGTGATCAAACACACATTGCCCAATATGGTGGCGAGATGGTAGCCTTTCTTGGAATGGAAAGTCATGTCGTCTTGCCTGATTTTGTGCAAGTAACGCTGCAAGTCTTCAATTAAAACAATTGTCATCTCACTTGGTGTGTGAATAAGTTCAGCTGTTTCACCCCTGCCCAGTGGAGTCTTGCTTGCATGCGGCATGAATCCGTCGAACGCGAACCCGCGCGGCGTTACAGAGTCGTAGAACCAGCTGTTCGGTGGGTCTGTAGAAAAATCATTGAGAGACTTGATTGCCATGGCCGGGAGGATGGTTTCTCCCAGGTTGATGACTTTGAGATGCAGATAGTGAGTGAGGTTGCGGAAATACCCGACGTTACTCTCTGTTTCCTCCTCTATCAGGATGGCGAACTCCAGATCAGAGTACGGGGTTACTAACCCTGTGGCCAGTGAACCCAGGCCTATCATAGCGTACTTACAGGGAAGGGAACCCATTACCTCTATACATTCATCTACAAGGTCAACTATGAACGTTTTTCTCTGTGCAGCAATAGTTTGGAAGAGTGTTATGATCGCTTTAACTCTCTGCTTCTCCACTTCTCTTATCTCTGGATCATCGTCATCAAGACTATAAGGATCGATCTCCTGCTCGATTTGTTTCATCTCTTTTTCTACATGTTCGCGATCTTTCTTAAGTTTTGATTTGTGTTTCCCTCTTTTACTGGTGTTCACTGCTTGCTTGATCCCCAGCACGTGCTCAACAAATGACTGGCTAACTTGCAGGATTGTTTGTTTAATGGCTTCTCTGTCTTCTGTCCTTGCTCTGACCAGTGCGGCATTACGGAGTGCTGCAGCCTTGGTGAAGTCACTTCCGTCTTTCGACTTCTTTCCTCTTTCCATGTAGACATCGCTTAACCTGCACAGGGGCTCCGCCTCTTTTATATATTGGTCTCTATTTGGATCTGAACGCAACAATAATTTTGAATTAGAAACTTGAATATCATTTTGGGTTTAATTAATCAGCAGTATACTGAAATACGCTAATAGAAATCAAAACTAGTGAAAGTGGGATGATAGAAATGACACTTTTTTTTACATGCCTTTCCAGTGGTATTCTGTAGGCACATTGGATTACCTTTGAAATGGACGGCCTTAAGCGCAGCTGCAAAATGCTTTTCTGCCCTGTCCAGGTCCCCTGTCTGCAGGGCCTTGAGGCCTTCTTGCAGCTGGTCGGTGTATACACTGTTACTGAGAGATGATTGTATGTTAAAGTTATGAGCATTGACAGGTTTATATTTTCAATGTTGCTTTAAGGATAAAAATCTACAGTTCACTTCTGAGGAAAGCAAGTCACCTGTCAGTATTTTTCCATAGCATCTCGAGATGCTTTAAAAAATATCAAGATTTTTAAAGCAATCTTGAAAAAACTTGAGATCTTTTAAACAATCTTGATATTTTTTAAAGCATCTCGAGATGCTATGGAAAAATCTCAAGATACTTTGAAAACATTTGCAAAGATCTTGAGACCTTTTGTTTTCATCTCAAGATTTTCTGAAAGATCTGGAGATTGTCATGAAAAATCTTAAGATTGTCTTATATCTCAAGATTTCGTCTTAAATATTGAGATCTTTGGAATAAATCTTGAGATTTTTCAATTTTTGAAGAAGCGTAAAGACCCCCGCTGGGGTTAGGGTTGATTATGATCCGCTATCTAACAGAGAAGATTTTGACAAAAGATTGGATATGTACTTCTAAGCTGTAAACGGTTAGAGGCATTAGTCCAGAGTGCTCTGCTCATTCCAATAATAATCTGCTCACTGTTATACGCACCCTCTTCTGAATCTTTTATTGATGACGCCATTGTTTCCTTGAGTTGTAGTGGCAGAAGACATGTCGGATTTCCGTTTCCTGGATTTTCCCCTTGCTTGTTGCTTCTGCAATCAAAATAGCACGAAAGAATACTATTGACATTCCCGGAAGGTAGAAGCAGAAGATGGGTTATATTCCCAAGCAAAGGCTGACTTCACACAGCGTCATTTATGTATCCCGTAGTCGCCGGCTCAGGCAACAATGAGTGCGAAGTGGGAGCAGTCGTTTTAATGTAACATTCAACTATGGCGGACAAAGGGCCACCCCACGAGGTGACCTCTAGTAGGGTCATTACCTTTAGGGTCATCTTAACCTAAATAGTGTCGATATAATATATGCAAAGATGGAGTTGAAGACGAATATCATTTTCTGATGACATGCCCCACATACGACGAAGAGAGACACAAACTAATGCAGATGATCCGATGTAAGACTACTAAAACATTACCCAACACATCTAGAGAGACATTCCATGTACTTATGTCATGTCCAGACACATTTTCTTTATATATAGGCCAATACATTTATAATGCCATGCAAAAAAGACATCTTAGTATAGCTGTATAAGTAGAGTCACTGAATTTTTATCAACTACATGTATATAGTATAGCGTTTCGTAGCATTTGTATGTAGAATCTTAACATTCCTGGCAAGTAACTTGGTATAAACTCTGTTTAGTAGCCATAGAACATGTTTAGTAACGTTATAATTAGGTACAACTGCTCACTGTACCCTTCATGTGTATAGTTTAGCATAATGTAGAATGTACACGTAGAGTCAAAATATTCTCTAGCCAGTAGTTATTTATAATATTCTGTCAGATACAATGTCCGTTGACCATATATATAGCATTATGTTAGACACATACCAACTAGTAATCTTATTATTTGCCATACATTGTACCCGTGACAATCGCTGTGCAATAAACTTTGAAACTTTGACTATAACATAGTGACGCAGACGTATATATGTTTTCCAACATTGAATGCAGGACTGCACATCTTGCGTACGAAATAAAATGTCCTGTGAAAAAAATCATCAAAGGGAGGGGGGCGGTATTTTTTTCAGTATGACTGCAGTATAAAAATGTGCTACGACCTACCCGTCTCCTTCTGTCCGCCATGTCTCTCCTGACTTTTGCTGCGTGCAGTAAGCGATGTGTGAGGACGGTTTTCCCATGTGGATCGTCACATCGCTCCAGGGCTGTGCTGTACAGGGCTGTCGCCTTGGTCAAGTGTCTGGGCTCCTTTAAGTCTCTTCCTCTCTTAAGGTCCACGTCTCCGAGACTTTTTATAGCCTCTACTTGCAACATATTGTTACCCTCCGCTATTCCTTCTACAAGAACCTTCGTGTAGCCCTCTGAGATGGACTCCATATGACCACCTTTAGTCCGTTTACTGTCCAAGTCTTGAAAGATTTCCAAATGGCCTCCACTAGCCCGCTTCTTGTCCAAGTCTTGAAAGATTTCAGAAGCCCTAGCAACAGAATTAATGCTTGTGTTCCTTGTTGATCCAGCTATGGGCGTTTTCTGCCTGAGTTTCTCGGTGAGTTCGACCCTATGTTGGAGAGACTCGCCTTCCCCCGGGTCCTCACACCGGAGCAGCGCGGCCCTGTACAGGTTCAGGCCCCGCTTCAAGTTCCGCGGAGCTTCGGTCTTGTGGAGTCTTCCTTTCTCCACGTTCAAGTCTCCCAGGCTCTTCAGTACCTCCACTTCCTGCAGCCTGTCCATATCAGACATGGCGGCCAGAAGGGCGCGGTCGTACCCCGTCTCGGCCAGGTCATACCTGTTAGCCGCCATAAACCTCCGGCATTGCACGTCTGCAGGGAGAAGGGCCCCCGCAACACGCAGTATGTTGGACATGGTGATCGGGCTGGTAATGGTACAGAGAACACAAGTCAGTAAAGAGGTTTGTGTGCGTGTTCATGTTGTGTCTGCGTGAGGGTATGTCTTTATTTAAGTGTATCACGGTGTGTGTGTGTGTGTGTGTTTGTGTATCATGATGAATTTCTGCGTGATTGTGTAAATTCTAATAGATTATATGTTAATTACTACAATTTCCGTAATAAACAAACAAAAGCATGCAGAAAGGCTCCAAATATTTCATGGAGGTATGAGATCTCCGACTCCGTGCTGTTGGTTGATCTTTCATTGCATGTTAAATTAAAAGAAAAACAATTTGGAGAGAAAAAGACGAATCCCCGTTAGTGGTATACAGCCGGACTGGATGCATATCTCTACTACAAAATTGCCAAATAACTGAAATTGAACAGTTTCCTAGTCCTTCGTGCCTCAGTTTGTCTTTCAGACATTCAGAAATGCAAAATACTTCAGAGGCGTCGCCAAAAACGTCACAACTACAGAACTATGTAAACGCGTCAGAGCTAATAATGGTTGCAGACGTCACCTTGCCTGAAGGGTCTGAAAGAACCGGACTTTCTAGTCTGTCTCTAACGTTAGCGCCTTACGTGACCTGACTGACAAACGTCTGAAAACCAGCAAAAATGAGAGATTTAAATCCTAGACAAGCATAAAATATATCCACGTAGTAGACCACTAATCTGCTAGTGTTGCGGTGGCCTCAAAGATATTTCCCTTTATTTTACCTGTCATTATTTTACCATGCATGTCGTTCAACTCAAAGACCTTTCAAATTTTGATGCATGTAGACAGGCTCACCCCATGTTTGTTAAGGGCACACCTTGTATTAATAGATAAAGACCGCGACAAATTTCGTTCCTACCTGCAAAATGGACCCAAATAGACTGTAGGGAAGGTCAGACAGTGAAGGGGGAACAGAAAAATCCCAAGTCCATGACTCACTGCTATATGTAGAGGGAGACAAAAGGCGACTGGGCGGTGTCTTCAGACAGACAACTGCCTACTATAATCGGGGTCATGAAGGTCGTAACGACAGACGAAGCCGTTTTACAGATCTGCGAACAGTAGAAAGACGAAAATCACAAGATATCGAGAACATATCCTTAGACGTCCAGTGACTGGCGTTACGTATTGAGAAATAGAATTCTGGGCTCAGGCAGACGGAGGGAGAGAGGGAGAGAAAAATGAATGTGTCGTATTTTTGTCCGATCACCATGACCTATAGGCATGACCCTACAACACTGAAACTTTCAAGGAAACTCATTATTAGTAACGTCATGTAAAGTTGAAAACTGTGAAATACCGCAAATAAAATTTGGGCAACACTTTTTTTTTCTCAACAGTAAGCTTAATGTATTGCTGAATGGGTTTGAGTATACGGACAGCCGTACCCACCTGTTTAGTCTTGTCAGCGCTATGTTATCCTCGTCACCGGTAAGTGTAGAGAACAGCGGGTCTGTCCGTGAAAACGTGAGTTTCACCTGTAGGTTGGAGGTAAGACTGACGCTCCCAGCTCGCCTCTCGCACCTGCGGAAGTCCCCAGGTGTGACCTCACCTTTTGTACCGCGCGTCGGGGTCTGGGAAGGGGGAGTTCCACGAACTATATTTGGGCAGAATGGTGACGTATTCGTAAAGCCTAGTCTGGAAATCAGACTGTTTGCAGGCTAGCTCCTCGGCTCCAGGGCCTACACAGGCCAGCTCCACGGCTCCAGGGCCTACACAGGCCAGCTCCTCGGCTCCAGGGCCTACACATGCCAGCTCCTCGGCTCCAGGGACTACACAGGCCAGCTCCTCGGCTCCAGGGCCTACACAGGCCAGCCCCTCGGCACCAGGTCCTACACAGGCCAGCTCCTCGGCTCCATGGCCTACA